CTACAGTTAATGTTTATTTAGACTTACCAACATCTTTTCCATTTCTCTTATTTTTTCATTCCTTTTTGTCTATGTGATGATTTTCTTTATACTTGAAGAATTAAAAGAAGTATTTCTTCTAGTGTGGATTAATGCTGATGCAGTCTCTCGGTTTTTATTTGCCTGAAAAATGTCTTGTTTTTGCCTTCATTTTTTAAAGGATATTTTCTTCAGGTTTAGAATTCTAGCCTGGTATATTTCCTCCCTCAGTAATTTAAAAATATTGTACCATTATCTTCCATTTCCTTACCTTTTCTCTTGAAATTGTCTGACAGTCTGAGTTCCTTTGAAGGTTTTCCTTTTGCTTTGAATGCTTTTAATCTTTTCTGTTTTGCATTGGTCCCAGTTTCACGATGATGTGTCTGGGTGTGCTTTTCTTTGTATTTATCCTACTTGGGGCTTGTAGCTCTTCTTGAATGTATAGCTTTGAAGTCTTGTAAAAGTTCTGAATAATTTTTGTATCATATTCTCTTTCCTCTCTTACTGCAATTCTAACTATACACTTAAAAACATACAATTTCTTTTGCTGTGATCCAGCTGTTTGACACCTTTATGTACTTTCCCCCTGTTCATGTATCATTTTGTTTTCTTCTGACCTGCATTTGAGTTTACTAATACACTCTACGGATTTGTCTAATCCTATGTTAAACCCATGCACTGAATTCTTAATTGCACTTATTTTATATTTCAATGTTATAATTCCTTTGTAGTTTTTAATATAGCTTTTAATTCCCTGCCAGAATTCTCTGTCTTGCCATTGAATTGTTGAACTTCTTTAATTATGTTGAAGTTTATATCAGCCTTACTTTCTAGACCTCCTGTGGCTTTGTCTTGTTTTTTTTCTCTTATTTTTTGGTCACATCTTTTCTTACATGCATGTTACTCTGATTGCATGGTAGACTTTGCCTGTGAAAAATGTTCAGATAATTTGAGGCCGTGAATGATTTTGTAATTCTTCTGGAGGTGACTTAACTTTCCTTCTGACAGGTAATTGAGCTATTGTCAGATCAGTTTGGTCCAGGCAAGAGTGCACTAACTGGAAACTGGGCTTCAGTTTTTGACAGGCTAATTCTTTTTCTGGTTACCTTTATGTGTAGAGTATATCTATTTGGGAGCCACCCAGAACTCTGAGGTATTTAACAGGGACTCTGTTCTTTATTGGACCCAGATTTCCAATTTTTTTCCTTCCTGCTCTGTGACAGTGATGCAGATGTTGTTCAACCTGTTAAGTCTCTTTCACTTTCAGAATCAGTTATCATTTGTATGAGAAAAGCAGTCCTAGGGCCAGACTCAAATCTTGACTTCATTCCCCTTTTGAGACTTTGCCCGGCAAATTCTCACTGCTTTGGTAGCTCTTTTATCACCTTCAGACTGATTTTTAAAAAGATCTTTTATCCAGCATTTCCATTTATTCCATGGAAGGTAGGTTAAAAAAAAACCTAATCAGCTCTTGTAAGAACAGAACTTTCACCAATATTAACCCATTAATTTGTCTTATTTTAATGTTATATTTGATATGTACAAAGGAATATATATTTAACATTTGTGTAATTGTTTTATAATAATACAGTGAACATTTGTGTACTGTTAGTTCCTGGTTTATTACTCTCTAGACTTTTCTTTTTGTTTCTTCTCTGCCCCAGGTAACTGCTGTATTGAATTGGGGCTTACTATTCCCTAACAAGAACAAAACAACACTTTGGCACGTGTATGTCTCTGAATAACATACTTGGTTTAGTTTTGCTTATTCTTGAGGTTTATGAGTTATACCATATATATTCTTGGCTGACTTGCCTTTATCATTACACGTTTGTTTCTTTGAATAACCTTCCCTTGTTACTGCATCTAGCTGTATGTGATTCGTTACTGTGTCTTATATTAACACTGTGTGAAATTTCTTATATTTATTCTCTTAGTGCACATTTGAAATATTTCCATTTCTTTACTCTTCGGAGCAGTGTTCCTGTGAAGGTTCTTAGAGAGGCTGCATGATGCATATGAGCAAGAATTTCTCTAGGTTATATTTATACAAGTGAAAATGATGAGTAACAGTGTGTACACACATTTAACTTTTCATTTTATTCCCAAATTACTTTTCAAAATCATTGTTAAAACTTATTTTTTATTAACAGTATATTGTACCCATTAGTGTCAGATCTTTTAATTTTTGCCCATCTAAAAGTTGGAAAATAGTGTCTCATTATGGTCTTAATTTGCATCTCCCTGGTTACTAATTAAGTTTTTATGTCTCATCACCATTCATGTTGCCTCTTTCTCAAATTTCTTTTGAGGCCTTTTGCCTTTTTTCCCCAGGCTTTTTGTCTTTTTCTCATAGGTAATCTTTATACACATTAATACTTTTTCAGGTATATGTTGCAATATCTTCATAAAAATGTATAAACTCTGATTTATGGTGTGTCCTTTTCATTTATGGTGTCCTTTGAACAAAAATTATTAATTTTAATATAGCTAAATTTATCATTCTTCTGTAGTTAGTGCTTTTTACATCCTTAAGAAATCCTTCCCTACTCTAGTGTCATAAAAATAGTCTCCAATATGGTCTGAAAGTCTTGAGATTTTCTTTTCACACTTAAAAAATTTAATCCATCTGGAATTGATTTGTTTGTTTGTGTGCTGTGTCTTAAGGATTTCATTTCTTTTTACTTCCATAGGACAACCAAATTTCCCATCAGAAGTTCTTGAGTAACCTTTCTTTCAATCCTCTTATTGTTACCTGTCATAGGGTGTATAGCATCTATTCTTTACCATTGCTTTGTTTGCTCATCTACAAGATGTCTTTCATGAAAGTTTTGCAATTTTCTTTGTAAAGAAAATTCGAAAAATTTTTCTTGTACAACTTTGTTAGGTACTTTGATTTTTTTAATTGCATTTTATGTTTGTGATTGATTTGGAGAATTGTTTTATAGTTTTCATCTTCTTTCAAAACAGGGTGATGCAGTTGGTTGAGTTTCCAACTCTTGGTTTCTGCTCAGGTCATGATCTCAAGGTTGTGGGATTGAGCCCCACATCAAGCTGTGCTCAGGGTGTCAGTCTGCTTGAGATTCTCTCTCCATCTCCCTCTCCCCGTGCCTCCCACACCTGCATGCATGTGTGCTCTCTCTCTCACTCCAAAATAAATCTTTTCTTTTTTTTAAAGAATTCAGGTTTTGATTATTTTCTAATCCTTGAATGTTTTATCTATATATTAATTTCCTTATATTTCTATATGTGCTTCCTCTGCTTATCATTTTTCATTTCAACTTCATCTACCAGTTTTTTTTTAAAGTGGTATATTTAAATCTTCTGTGGTGGCAAAGTTTTCTGTCTCTACTCTTTTTTTTTTTTAAGTCACTTTTGTTTTGATTTATTTTGGTACTATTCTGCTGGTTGTCCAAATGTTCATTAATTTTATAACTTACTGTGGAATAAGATTTAAAAAAAAACTTCAATATCCTGTTTATACCAGTATCCCAATTAAATCCATAGCCCATTTCATGTTTTTTATTATCTTGACTAGTATATTGTTTCATCCTATTATTTTTAGATTTTCTCTGTCGTTGGTTTTGTTGCATCTGTTTTGGTTTATATTATTATCTTTGAACCATCTGATAGTCTGTTGGTTTTATTTATAATAACTTTCTATTTTGTAATAATATATGCTATTTGAATTTTTTCTTATGAATTAAATATTTTAGTGGAGTATATCTTTGAGTAATTCTTTCAAAATGGCTTATAATTTGGAAACTTTCTCTCTGTCCTAGCTTGCTAAAAATATTTTTTTCCCTTATTCTTGAGTACTAGAATCCTGTATTTCAGGGTACTTGGCTGCAGAAAATCCAGATTATCGTTTTTTGGCATCATGTCTAGTTAGCTGAGATATCTGAAGTTGATCTGATTCTTGCTTCTTATTTGGAAGGTTCCCCTATAGAATCTTTGAGGATCTTTTTAATATTCTTAGTTCAGAAATTTTATCAGAACATTTCTAATGTGATTGTTTTTTCATTATTTCTACTTTTTACTTCAAAGGCGCTTTTCAGTGGAAATGCATCCTAAACTCTATGTGTTTGATGAGTTTGCCTTCCGGATGTTGGGGCTACCTATCCTGTTGCCAGAGGGTTACCTGAGCTGCTATTTGATTTGTTTCCCAGGCTGCTTTTGGAAGTCACTCCTGTCAGCTGGCGGTACACTAGATCTCCAGTGTTCCAAGATTGAGCTCGGCTCTTTTGTCACCTTGCTTTAATTTCCTGGCTGTCACTGCAAATGCACATCTTGAAATACCTGCGTTCTATCATCTCAGGATTATGCTGTGATTGTGGGAAAAAAAAAATCTAACTTTTTTGGAAAATGTTTCCATTCTCTGCTTTTTATGGAGATGTGAATCTAGCCTTGTTAATATTTTTACTGTATATTTTGCATTATTAAAATTATTCTAAAGGTTCTGGCCTTCTTTTTGACACTTTTTGTTTTCCAGCCCTGCTGTGTGTGTGTGTTTGTGTGTGTGTGTGTTGCCATTTTGGTGGGATTTAGGTACAAAGATACTAATGCATCTTATTTTCTTACAGTCAACTGCAAACCTTTCTAATTTTTCTTCTGCTCAGGATTTTTTGCATATACCCTTTCCCTTGTTTAAGAACTACGCTTTTTTGCTGTATTGATTTTTTTGTTGCTCCTTGCCAGCCACCTTAAATAATTGAATCATTAGTCTCAAAGGCTAAGTTAGGAAGTATATGTAAGATACAGTCAGTCCTACCTCACACCTGGAAAGAACCAATTACAGATGGATGTGTAAGTGCTTTATGTGGGTACTAGTGAAGATAAGTCTTTCAACCTTTTTGTAAAGTAGATGAGGTATTTTAGTGATCTGTAATGACTGTAGAAGGCAAAGATTTCATTCATTCACTAAATATTAATTAAACATGAAAATTCTAATATATTTTTTAAAGTCCTTCATTTTTGTTTAGCTCCCAGGAAAAAAGACAACTAAACTTTGGGTTCCAGATGAAGAAGTTTCTCCTGAGACAATGGTCAAAGTGAGTGATATGCATAGTTCTATTTAATACATCAATATATCCACCAGATTGTATTATCATTAAAGTGTTAAAATTTTTATTCCTGTTGTAAAGATATGGCTATTAAAATCACCCAAGTTTTTATATTTATTGTATGACATCATCCCAAGTGCTCTGAGAGTGTAAGGCAATAATGAGAAACCTGAGGCCCTATGGGCAGCTGCACATAATCTGATTTGGGGAAAAAAAAAAAGTGCTTGAAACTGCCCCCAGTTGCTGCTTCTTAGTTATTAACCTTTTAAGGGTGAAAGACGTTGCCTGTTCTCTTGTGTACATTCTCCTGTTAAGTAAAAATGATCATCCAGGTTTTAAGACTATCTTTTCCGTGGGATTTGATAAAACTTTTATTTTGATTTTTAAAAAAGTTCAACCTGTTAGTCCTTGAATTCGAAGTAATAGGTAAAAACTACTTATCACTAGTGTAGAGAGTATTGATTTACTAAAATGATCTATAGTCTGTCATGTAGACCTCATCTCAGTCCACTGTCCAAGGTGTGTAGGCCGGGAACAAATATATTAAATACTGTTTTTCTCATTGTAGTTTCTTATAAATCCAGTCATGTATATATGCGTGTACTGGTTTATATTTTATATTAGGAACTACTTTGTTGTGTTATTCCGGTTTCAGATGCTAATACTGTTTCAGCAGACCTTATAGAGTAGCTGATGGAATGATGCTTGATACTTCTGAGTTCCAGTATAAACCTGTTTTCTCAGCATTGGTGTCAAGCAGCAGTTTTGTGTAGGTCAGGCAACTCTGGACTAGAAGGCAGGCTTCCTGCAGTTAAGCTTATGCTTAATAAATGGCCCAGAAAAGGGATCTGAAGAGTGTCTGCCACATGCCACTGTTCAAGACCCACTTAGCTGCTAAGACATAGATCTGTTGAAAGCTAAGATAATATGTGAAAAAGAGGTGATATGCACCCCATCAAAAAGAGTTGTTAGAAACATTAGAGGCAATAACAGAGTTTAAAGTACTTAATTTTAAGTACTTCATTATTATAAAATGTAGCACAAAAATGGAATATAATTTGCAGTTGGGAAGTTAAGTTTTCTGACTAGGGACGTTAACATTTTACTGTGGGTTCTAAAGAACAGAAATTATGGTGGGGAAACATTAAAAAATCAAAAAGAACCAGTCTTTAGTTAAATCATTCATTTGTCAATTGCCTGGGTGGGAGGGTAAAACATCTTAAAGACATTCCGTTATCTTGATATATAAAGAAGAGAATGACTCTTTTTTCCTTTACTTTTCTTAAAAAGCATCCGTTAAAACCATTTCATTTTATTCAAGGTAGATACAGAATTTCTTTAAAATGTAGTAATGTTGTATTTGTCAATTTGTTTTTTAAATAGATTCAGGCTATTAAAATGATGGTTCGATGGCTTCTTGGAATGAAAAATAATCACAGTAAATCAGGAACATCTACCTTAAGATTGCTAACTACAATATTGCATAGTGATGGAGACTTGACAGAACAGGGAAAAATTAGGTATGTAATTATTATTCCAAAGTTCTTGCATAATATTTTAGTATCTGGTGTAATTTCTAATGGTGCGGTTTCTTTTTAAGAAAGTAATTAGTTGAACACTACATCAAAGACTAATGATGTGCTGTATGTTGGCTAATTTACATAATTAAAAATGTATAAAATGTAAAATACAAAAAAAGTAGTATTCCTATGTATGTGTGCATATATTTTTATTATAATATGCTTTTGCACAGTGGTTATTTCAGAATGGCAGTCATATATCAGAGGCAGAGTATTGCTATATATTGTAAATATTTTAAACAATAGATATTTACTTTTTTAAATATCTAATAGGAAAATAGTAATTTATCAGTAACTGATATTTTGCATTCTTCTTAATGGCTGAAGGAAAAAGAACACACTAGGTAGAAGGCAACTTACTGAATCTATTTCCAGAAGTATAAATACATGCAAATGTACTAGATGTACTAGATGTAAAATTTGTACTAGATGTAAATGTGTACTAGATGTAAATTATATAAACACATGTACTTTGTTTTGTTTGAAAAAGGTAGTTTAGTATGGTGATTGAAAAAATGGACCCTGGAGCCTGGATTCAAATCCTGACACTACCATATACCAGCAAATCACTTTAACCTCCTTATGTCTCAGTTTCTTTGTTTATAAAATAGAGATAATGATTATACTTTTCTTGTCTAGCTGTTATGATAATTGAATTAGTCATTATTTATGTGCATATTTAGATCTAATCTCACCTGTTTTTATTCATGTTACTCTTTAATGAAATCAAATGTGTATTTGAATTCTACAAATACATGTGAATTATATTACTTCACTTTTATTTTTTATTTTTAATTAATTTTTTTATTAACATATAATGTATTATATTACTTGTTTTAGGGGTGCAGGTCTGTGATTCATCAGTCTTACACAATTCACTAGCTCATACGCTCTAGTGTCCATCATCCAGCCACCCACCTCCCTAACCTCCTCCACTCCAGCAACCCTCTCTTTTTTTCCTGAAATTGAGTCTCTTATGGTTTGTCTCCCTCTCTGGTTTTGTCTTGTTTCATTTTTTTCCTCTCTTCCTTTGTGATCTTCTGCCTTATTTCTCATATTCCTCATAAAAGTGAGATCGTGTGATAATTGTCTTTCTCTGATTGATTTATTTTGCTTTAGCATAATACCCTCTATTTCTGTCCTTCTTGTTGCAAATGGCAAGATTTCATTTTTTGACGGCTGCATAATATTCGTGTGTGTGTGTGTGTGTATCACATCTTCTTTTTGCATTCATCTGTCGATGGACATCAGGGCTCTTTCCATAGTTTAGCTATGTGGATATTGCTGCTCTAAACAGTTGGGGGCATGTGCCCCTTTGGATCGCTACCTTTGTATCTTTAGGGTAAATACCCAGTAGTTTGATTGCTGGGTCATAGGGTAGCTCGATTTTCAACTTTTTGAGGAACCTCGATGCTGTTTTCCAAAGTGACAATACCAGCTTGCATTCCCACCAATAGTGTAGGAGGGTTCCCCTTTCTCCACATCCTTGCCAACATCTGTCATTTCCTGACTTGTTAATTTTAGCCATTCTGGCTGGTGTGAGGCATTATCTCATTGAGGTTTTGATTTATATTTCCCTGATGCCGAGTAATGTTGAGCAGTTTTTCATGTGTCTGTTGGCCATTTGGATGTCTTCTTTGCAGAAATGTCTGTTCATGTCTTCCTATTTCTTGATTGGATTATTTGTTCTTTGGGTGTTGAGTTTGATAAGTTCTTATAGATCTGAATACTAGCTCTTTATCTGGTATGTCATTTGCAGATATCTTCTCCCATTCTGTTGGCTGTCTTTTGGATTTGTTGACTGTTTCCTTTGCTATGCAAAAGCTTTTGATCTTGATAAAGTCCCAATAATTCACTGTTGTCTGATTGCTAAGGCTAGGACTTCTAGTACTATGTTGAATATCAGTGGTGATAGTGGACAGCCCTCCCATGTTCCTGACCTTAGGGGAAGAGCTCTCAGTTTTTCCCTATTGAGAATGCTATTCACTGGGGATTTTTCATGAATGGCTTTGATGATATTAAGGTATATACGTACTATCCCTATAGTGTGAAGAGTTTTAATCAAGAAAGGATGCTGTATTTTGTCAAATGCTTTTTCTGCATCTGTTGAGCGTATAATATGGTTCTTGTTCTTTCTTTTATTAATGTATTGTATCACATTGATTGATTTGTTGATGTTGAACCAACCTTGCAGCTCAGCAATAAATCTCCATTGGTTATGGTGAATAATCCTTTTAACGTACTGTTGGAACCTTTTGGCTAGTATTTTGGTGAGAATTTTTGCATCCATGTTCATTAGGGTAGGGATATTGGTCTGTAATTTTCCTTTTTGTTGGGGCCTTTGTCTGGTTTTGGGATCAAGGTAATGTTGGCCTCATAAAATGAGTTTGGAAGGTTTCCTTCTATTTCTATTTTTGGTAACAGTTTCAGAAGAATCTATATTAATTCTTTAAATGTTAGTAGAATTCCCCTGGGAAGCCATCTGGCCCTGGGCTCTTGTTTGTTGGGAGACTTTTGATTCCTGCTTCATTGTCCTTGATGGTTATGGGTCTGTTCAGGTTTTCTTTCACTTCCTGGTTCACTTTTGGTAGTTTGTATGTATCTAGGAATGCTTCCATTTCTTCCAGATTGTCTAATTTGTTGGCATATAGTTGCTCATAATATGTTCTTATAATTGTATTTTCTTTGGTGGTGGTTGTGATCTCTCCTCTTTCATTCATGATTTTATTAATTTGGGTCCTTTCTCTTAATATTTTGTTAAGTCTGGCCAGGGGTTTATCAATCTTATTAATTCTTTCAAAGAACCAGCTCCTGCTTTCATTGATCTGTTTTACTGTTCTTTTGGTTTCTGTTTCATTGATTTCTGCTCTGATCTTTACTATTTCTCTTCTCCTGCTGGATTTAGGCTTTCTTTGCTGTTCTTTCTCCAGGTCCTTTAGGTGTAGGGTTAGGTTGTGTATTTGACATCTTTCTTGTTTCTTGAGAAAGGCTTGCTTGTATTGCTATATACTTTCCTCTCAGGACCACCTTTGCTGCATCCCAAAGATTTCGAACAGATGTGTTTTTAATTTTATTTGTTTCCATGAATTTTTTAAATTTTTATTTAATTTCCTGGTTTACCCATTCAACCAGGTCAACCTGGTTGCTCTTTAGCCTCCATGTATTTGAGTTCTTCCCAGCTTCTTCTTCTTCTTCTTCTTCTTCTTCTTCTTCTTTTTAAGAATTTATTTATTTTACAGAGAGAGATCACAAGTAGGCAGAGAGGTGGGGGGCGGGGAGAGGGAAGCAGGCTCCCCACTGAGCAGAGAGCCCGATGCAGGACTTGATCCCAGGACCCTGAAATCATGACCTGAGCCGAAGGTGGAGGCTCAACCCACTGAGCCACCCAGGCGCCCCTCCAGCTTCTTGTGATTGAGTTCTAGTTTCAAAGCATTGTGGTCTGAAAATATGCAGGGAATGATCGCAGTCTTTTGGTACATGTTGAGACCTGATTCGTGACTTAGGATATGATCTATTCTGGAGAATGTTCCATGTGCACTAGAGAAGAATGTGTATTCTGTTGCTTTGGGATGGAGTGTTCTGAATATCTGTGATACTCGTCTGGTCCAGTGTGTCATTTAAAGCCCTTATTTCCTTGTTGATCTTTTGCTTAGATGATCTGTCCATTTCAATGAGGGGGGTGTTAATGTTCCCTACTGTTATTGCATTATTGTCAGTGTGTTTCTTTGATTATGTTATTAATTGGTTTATATAGTTGGCTGCTCCCATGTTATGGGCATAAATATTTACAGTTGTTAGATCTTCTGTTGGATAGACCCTTTTAAAATATATAGTGTCCTTCCTCATCTCTTATTTAGTCTTTGGCTTAAAATCTAATTTGTCTGATAAAAGGAATGCCACCCCAGCTTTCTTTGATGTCATTAGCATGGTAAATGGTTTTCCACCCCCTCACTTTAAGTCTGGAGATATCTTTGAGTCTCAAATGAATCTCTTGAAATAGCATAACAATGGGTCTTGTTTTTTATCCAATCTGATACCCTCTGTCTTTTAATTGGGACATTTAGCCCATCTACATTCAGAGTAACTATTGAAAGATATGATTTTAGTGCCATTGTGTTGTACTATGTATGTATGCACTATGTAGAGACTGTTATTGTATACTGTCTCTGTTCCTTCCTGGTCTATGTTACTTTTTGGCTCTCTCTTTGCTTAGAGGACCCCTTTCAGTATTTGTTGTAGGCTGGTTTGGTGATTGTTGATTCTTTTAGTTTTTGTTTGTCCTGGAAGCTTTCTTTCTCTCTTTCTATTTTCAGTGACAGCCCAGCTGGATGTAGTATTCTTGGCTGCATGTGTTTCTCGTTTAGTACCCTGAATATATCATCCCAGTTCTTTCTGGCCTGCCAGCTCTCTGTGGATAGGTCTGCTGCCAATCTAATGTTTCTACCGTTGTAGGTTACAGACCTCTTGTCTTAAGCTGCTTTCAGGATTTTCTCTTTGTCTCTGAGATTTGTAAGTTTTACTATTAGATATCAGGGTGTTGACCTATTTTTATTGATTTTGAGGAGGGGTTTTCTGTGCCTTCTGGATTTTGATGCCTGTTTCCTTCCCCAAGTTAGGGAAGTTTTCCACTGTAATTTGTTCCAATATACCTTCTTCCCCTCTCTCTTTCTTCTTCTTTTGGGATCCCAATTATTCTAATACTGTTTCATCTTATGGTATCACTTGTCTCTCAAATTCTTCCCTCATGATCCAGTAGTTTTTTATCTCTTTTTCTCAGCTTCTTTATTCTCCATCATTTGTTCTTCTATATCACTAATTCTCTCAGAAGAGAATTTATCCTAGCAGGTACAGCCTCCATTTTTGATTGCGCCTCATTAATAGCCTTTTAAATTTCGACTTGGTTAGATTTTATTTCTCCAGAAAGAAGAAATCTCTAGTATTTTCTATGCTTTTCTCATGCCCAGCTTGGGCTTATCTTTATAATCGTCATTCTGAACTCTAGTTCCAACATCTTACTAATGTTCATGTTGATTACATCCCTGGCACTCAGTAGTGTCTCTTGTTCCTTTTTTTTTTTTTTAAGTGAGTTTTTCTGTTTTGTTTTGTCCGGAGAAGAATAGATGAATGAGAGAACAAAATGTTCAAAGGGTAACAACGACCCCAGAAAAAATATATATTAAATAAATCAGAAGAGACCTGAAACTGGGGAGAAAAGAAAAAAAAAAAAAGAATATTATTAGGCTGGTGAATAGAACAGAGCCACACACTAGATTTTGGGTGTATTTGGTCTGTTAGAAGAAACTGTCTCCCAAAATTTTAAAGAGAAACTTATATATGTACAAAATTATGGGTAAATACGATAAAGGGATGGAATATGATTGTAAAAATGAAAGTTAAAAAAGATTTTAGAAAAGGAATTGATAAGATAAGTTGGTTGAAAGAAGAAAGAAAAATTAAAAAAGAAATAAAAAAAATTAGAGAATGTGATCAGGTAAGACAATAGAACCAAGCCATACACTAGAGAAGAAACTGTATACCAAAATTCTAAAGAAAGAGAAACTTATATGTATACAAAAAATAGGGTTAAATACAATGAAGGGATAGAATATGAGTGTAAAAATGAAAATTAGAAAAGTTTTTAAAAAAGGGAATTGGTAAGATAAGATGTTGGTTGAAAAAGAAAGAAGAAAAATTAAAAAGAAACAAAAAAAAATTTAAAAAATTACCTTTGAAAAACTAAGGAATCATGGGGAGAAGTCATGAATTCTATGTGCTGTGTTCCCCTGCATTGAAGTTGGTATACTTGGTCTTGGCTGGAGTTCTTACTGGTCTTCTAAGGGAGGGAGCTATTGTAGTGATTCTCAGATGTCTTTGCCTGAGGCGGAACTGCACTGCCCTTGTCAGGGGCGAGGCTAAGTAATCTGCTCTGGTTTGCTCTTGGTAGCTTTTCTCTGAAAGCTTTCTCTACAGCTTTGGAGGAGGAGAATGAAAATGGTGGCCTGCCAGTCTCCGGCCCAGGAGGAGTCAGGAACTCAGTACACCCTTAGAAAAAAGCAGTCACTCACTCCTGTCTCCCTGGTCTCTGGCCATACTCCGTACTCACCTGGCCTGTTACCTAGCATTTCTGTCTCTGGCATATGACCCCATTTGGAGTTTCTGAACCTAGCAGATTCCTGTGGTGTGCTCCCATGCCACTTCTCCAGCAGGGAGGAAGGGGAGCATCCCCATATCTGTGGCTTTTTGGGCCCCTGCTCAAAGAGTAGTGGCCCAGCTGTGATGTGGATCATGGTTTATGGCATCCTCAAGCTGAGAGCCCACTCCTCGGCTCTGTCTTTGCAGCTGGCTTCCCTGCTCTGATACTTTGGAGCTCTGTCACACTCGGGCACCCCCAGTCTTCTGTAACCCTGAGCATCCTGAGATCACACTGTCCCAGCGAGGGTTCCAAACCCTAGTTTACCGCTGGAGTGATGTCCCTCAGCAGAGGGGACTTCTAAAAGTTCTGATTTTGTGCTCTGTTGCTCTACCACTTGCTCGTAGCTGGCTGAGGGAGGCTCCCTCCTCTTTGGTCTGTTTTCCCAAATATCACCTCAGATTCACTTCTCCACATGTCCTACTTTCCAGAAAGTTGTTTCTTTTCTGTTCATAGAATTGCTGCTATTCTTTTTTTTTTTTTTTTTTTTTTTTTGATCACCTGTTGAGTTTGTAGGTATTCAGAATGGTTTGATAACTAACTAGCTTAATTCCTGGGACCAGATGAAATGCAGGTCTCCTGCTCCTCTGTTGTGTTGCTCCTCCCCGCAGTTCACTTTTAAATAAAACATGTCTTTATATAAAAACTTGGTCTTCAAAAAGTTAGTTTTAAGTATTAATTAAATTACTTATCTTTATAGAAAATAAACTACAGTAAGAAAAACAGACTTTCCTTTAATAATGGTTAAGTGAATTACCTTATAATAGCTACTTGGAATACTGCTATTGATGTACCAAATAGCACCTCTGGCACATGTAACTTCAGAACCTTATAAATGTTGACATGCATTCAGTCAGTATTTTTACATAATCCTTAGGAAGATAAGGGGGCATTCTTAAACCAATTAGATCATTAGATCGTAGAAAACTGTGGAAGAACATAGGGGATCCTAGTTAAGAAGTTACAACTTTCCATCCTTTTCAGGATTTGTCTAATATATCACTATATAAGGAAGGATTGTTTAGATATTTTTATTAGTTAGGAGTTTACTAATCTTTGAGGTATGTCCCATTAAGCAGAAGTTTTCTTAAATTTAAAAGAAGCTTCTTGGTAATATTTGGAAAGTTGAATTTGAACTAAAACTTGTGATGTTTTCCACTATGCCTTCTTTCATTCTTCTTTTGTACTTAGAACATTAGTTTTAGTTGACTTGATTAACACGTTAGGACATTTTTGTACCTCATCTGTAAGTAAACACATATCCAAAAAAAATCCATACTGAAAGATTTTAGACCCAATAACTAAACAAACAAATAGATTTGTTCTAAGCTTGGCTAAAAGCTGTTTTGTGTAGGATGAAGGAATAAAATGACTTTAATATAGATTTTGTTCAAGAGAAGAGTTTTGTAGTATTAGACACCATCTGTCAAACTTAAGTAAACATAATAGGATATTCATTATCACTAAATTGTCTTTGATCCTTTTTTTTTTTGGCAAATGGGAATGTTTTTGTGCAGACATTTAGAAATCTAACTTTCTTTCTTTCTTGCTTATTTTTTAGTAAACCAGATATGTCACGTCTGAGACTTGCTGCTGGGAGTGCTATTGTGAAACTGGCACAAGAACCTTGTTATCATGAAATCATCACATTAGAACAGTATCAGCTCTGCGCATTAGCTATCAATGTAAGGAGGATGGCCATATAGAATGTGACTTTATATCTTTGACTTTTAGGAAGAAAAAAGTCCACTATGATGGTAGAGATAAAAGTTTTGAATTGTCCCCTTTTGGAAAGTATATTCATGTGTAATGTTTCAGAGTTCTAAAACTGTGGTTTAAGTTTTGGGTTACTAACATAGTACATTTGATTCTTGTTGTTTGTAGTAGTTCTCTTCTACAGAGTCACCCCAATCGTTGATTAAGCAAATACTGAACCATTGCTTGTAAGGAAAATACAGGGGTGGTTTCTCCTAGCCTCTGGTCACAACATTTTTGTCAGTCTATCAGTATATAATTTAAAGAAAAATTATTTAATATTATAGTCATGTCATTAACATTGAACTCATGACCAACAGAGCTGTATTTCATGCCTGAATGAAGCTTTGCTAACATATTTTCTTCCTAAGGCATATTACAACCTTCTTGCTTTTAGGAACACTGAACAACGCTATGCTTGGGAGCTCTTTTAAACAACAAAATCACGAACAAATGCACAAAAACACAAAAAAATGTGGCACTAGATAGACTGTCAAAAGGACACTTGTTTCTAATACGAGCGCTGACATAACAGGCAAAACTTTGCTTCGTTCAGCTTCAGCTGGGATATTGGTCAGACGATTCAATATGTTTGTTGCTGTACTCATTTACTCACCAGTAACTCTGAAAATAAATTTTAGTGAGTAGGCAAATTCACAGATTTAGAATATTTGTTAATAATGAGACTTTGAATGTATATAGTTCTTAAATGGAAGAAAAAATACACAGAAATTTACAGTTTTATAAAGATACAGTATAGATTAATTTTAGGTCAGAAGCATTTCTTGTAATTCAAGCCAGTTAAATTTTCAGATTATTAACAGTGATATGCATGGATTCATATTCCTGTCTTACAGATTTCTTATTAGAGTAATATAATATTTGAATTGTATCCCTTTGGAAGTTTTTAGCATCATTGAGAAAATTAAAAAGGAATTCCTTAATAATAAATATATTTCAGTGTGAGTTTTTAATTCATTATTTGGTCATCTTACACTGAATTTTCCTGTTCTTTTCCAAGTAGTCTTAATAAGAATTTGGCAGTTACTTCAGGGATAATTATAATTTTTCTCTCCACCCTTCCTTCTGTTTATTTAAAAATTAGTGCTTATGTGTAACCCCTAGACATAAACGATCATTTGTTTTTTTAATCATTTTGTCAGTTTTTGGTGCTTTAATCTTCAAAATAGCTCTTCCAAATCTTGTTTATAATTTATTTTAGTATTAGTGTTGTAATTCAGGTATTAAACTAAGCCATTTGAAAATGAGATTTTGGTGAGTCCATAATTTCCTGGTTTAATTTCCTCATTTTTAATTTTAGAGATAATCTTATTTTGCGAGAGAGTGAAAATTGTTTAAAAAGTTTGTATTAGATTTCTTAGAAGTAAACAACCTTTGTAATTATTGTTTTTTTAATTGATGATTCATTCAGTCCGTTGATTTATCATGTTCTTGGTCTGGTATTTCTAAGGGTATTGGTGCTACCAGTATTGAAGTGGAAATATTTACAGAAGTGTGGAAGTATGTGAAAGAAATGGGCTTTGTTTGAAACTTACTGTGTATAAGAAGTATGTACAAATTATAAAATGTCCTCTGTGAAAAGCATCCACACTTAGGAACTTCTAGAGATTTTCTAACATAATACATGTTATATATTACTATCTCAGTCACCAAATTCCCAAGGAGGAAGTTCAAATTCCCTAAGTTTTAAGATTTTTTTTGAATTCTGTTGACTGTGGAACATATGCTAATGGTTAAAAGTTAGTTATTAGTATATTCTTACAACTTTCAGACATGCAGTTACCCTCTTCTGAACAAAACCTTCCCCTAATTCTGTTGTTCTTATAAACCACTTGCCTATCTCTTCTTTTTCTTACTATTTTATACTAGTTTTAAAAATATTTAATTTATTTATTTGACAGAGAAAGACACAGCAAGAGGGGGAACACAAGCAGGGGTGGGTGGGAGAGGTAGAAGCAGACTGCCCACTAAGCAGGGAGCCCGAAGCGGGGCTAAATCCCAGAACCCTGGGATCATGACCCCAGCCGAAGGCAGCTGTTTAACAGCTGAGTCATCCAGGTGCCCTTATCTCTTCTTTTTAAACCTTCAGACCTCAGAGAGTAATCCATATCTTTGTCTCTCTTATCCTCTTATCTCTCACTCCTCAATAATTATTCTTTTGGCTTTTGCCTTTCTTGTTTTTCAAAAATGCTTTGTTAAGAAGCCTCAAATCCCGTGGTCTTTGTCTTCATTATACATGTTCTTCTTGCACTATTTGACAGAGTTCATTGCTCCTTTATTCTTGAAATTCTTCTTGGTTTCTATTTCCTGATTTTTGTCATAATTCTCTGACTTCATTTTGGGTTGTTTTCCTTTCCTTTAAGTGTATGTTTTCTTTCTTTTTAAAAAGATTTTATTTATTTTAGTGAGAGTGAGCCTGAGAGCATGATTAGAGGGGAGGGGCAGAGGGAAGAGTAGGCACCCCACTGAGCAGGGAACATCCTGGCATGGGGCTTGATCCCAGGACCCCAAGAGCATGACCTGAGCCTGAGCCAAAGGCAAACACCCAATCAACTGAGCCATCCAGGAGCCCCTATCAATGTATGTTTTCTATGTGGATCTGCCCATGACTAAATTTTCCACTTACACATTCTTTTTTGGCCATCTCATTTTCTATGTAGGTGACTCCCATATTAGCAACATTAACTTTTTTCAAGTCAGAGTCTGGTCCCACATCTGAGGTTAAACAGAAATTTCAAACTTTTATGTTCTGTCAATGTGAAGACTAAATTCATAATCTTTCCCAAATCTATTCTTTAGTGAGATGTAGAGCCTCGTTAAGCATTAAATAAATACAAATGGCATTCATAGATTGAAAAGCATGAGTTATGTTTGACTATTTGCTTGTCCTTGCACCTTGTTGCAAAAGTGTGGATAATCTGTCCTATATTTACTATATCTTTTCATTCATATGTTCTTAACTATTCTTTTTTTTTTAAGATTTTATTAATTTATTTGACAGAGATCACAAGTAGGCAGAGAGGAGGAAGCAGGCTCCCCGCCGAGCAGAGAGCCTCATGACCTGAGCCGAAGGCAGAGGCTTTAACCACACTGAGCCACCCGGGCGCCCTTCTTAACTATTCTTAACCACCATAATCATCATTAGCTCTGACCTAGACTATTGTGAGACTTTTCTTTTCCACTGTGAGTAAAATTTTTCTATCATAGTTCCAATCATATTATTCCCCCACTCAAAAATATGTAGGACCTTATACTTGTAAAAAAGAAAAAATTGCATATATTTTACAACTTGGCCATTCAAGCCCTTTTAATTTGTAGACCCAAATATACATTAAAATTTTTTTATTAATATATAGGGTATTATTTTTCAGGGGTATAGGTCTGTGATTCATCAGTCTTACACAATTCACAGCACCACAACACATACCCTCCCCAGTGTCCATCACCCAGCCACCCAATCCCTAACCGCCCCCACCGCTCTCCAGCAACCCTAAGTTTGTTTCCTGAGATTAAGAGTCTCTTAACGGTTTATCTCCCTCTCTGGTTTTATCTTGTTTCATTTTTTCCTCCCTTCTCCTATGATCTTCTTTCTTGTTTCTCAAATTCCACATATCAGTGAGATTATATGATAATTGTCTTTCTCTGATTGACTGACTTCACTTAGCATAATACCCTCTAGTTCCATCCACATCATTACAAATGGCAAGGTTTCGGGGTTTTTTGATGGCTGCATAATATTCCATTGTGTGTATATATGGACCACATCTTCTTTATCCATTCATCTGTTGGTGGACATCTAGGCTCTTTACATAGTTTGGCTGTTGTGGACATTGCTGCTATGAACATTTGGGTGCAAGTGCCCCTTTGGATCACTACATTTGTATCTTTAGGGTAAAAATCTTTTTAACTCACTACCTTGACCTACTCTCATGTCAGTGAAGCTGAATAATTTCGTACTTTTTTGTGCCTGTATTTTGCTGTCTTTGACTTTCTTCTCGCCCTCCCATTTCTACACATCCAATCTGACCCTTTTTGTGACTCAAGGCTTAAACACAACCTTCTCCATAAAACTTGCTCGGATTCTTAGAACTGGTCTCATTTTTGTTCCTCACAGATTTTTATCTGCAGTCCTTTGATACATGCATGCCTTGTGTTTTCTTTATTTATGTACCTGTGCTTTATTTCTCTTACTTGAGTTGAACTTTTTAGAGGTAGTGTTGTTTCTCAGAGGCCTTTGTCATATATTTGAATAGAAAGTAAACCTGGAGAAATAAAAATAATATGAATCTTAATATTATTTAATATTTAGCTGAGTATTTTAGAATTTGAATGCAATTCATGAACTACGTGCTTTATGTTCTAGGTTCTGTAAATACAGAGATGAGTGAGTCATGGCTACTGCCCTCAAGAACATAACCTCTTAGGAGAACAGAAAATATAATTATTGATAATGCAATGCAATACCAAAATAACTGAATTATTTGCAAGATACCATCAGTAGTTTTATGGTTAATTTTTACTAGAAAAGGCCACTAAAAGTGAATTTATGTAAGGTGCAGACTAAAATTAATTTCACAGTTAGTAATGAATAAAAGCTTTTAATTGGAACTTTTTCTTGGAGGAAAATGTGTAGTAGTAGACACCATCTCCTTTTTTCCTTATATTGAACCAAATATTGGTTATAACCATAACCATGAAAGTATCAAGTGTTTACTTTTCTGAGTGTATTTTTTCTTATAAAAATTGTACTACTCTATTCTGTACTTCACATTTAACTTTTATAACAGTTAAAATGGTAATCATCTTTGCAAAAAACAAACATTTGAAGACTTCCTCAGTTCATAGGAACTCATCTTTTAAATCTTAATTCAGATGATTCTATTTGATGTACCTGTTTGTCATAATTCTTGTCAATTTTCTCATCTTTTATTACTGTGTCAGTTGCTTGCAAATGATTTAACAGTTCTTCTCTTACTTCTTTTTAATGACTTTTTGGAATCCTGCTACTTTTGCCATGATTCAGTAATTAATTTGCATTGTTAGATCCTGAATGATTTGTGAGAAAGTGACAAAAACATGGTCTTGGTTGGAAATGTATTTGAGTAGGAGGGAAGGATGTGTTAGTGGAGATTAATTTTTTAAATGAATGATGTGCTCATTCGTGAATATATTTGAGATACACAGTTAGTAATTGAGCATTTTCATGGTAAATAATCAGATAATGAAGATTCCTTTCCTGCATGGAAATTTTAATACTGACAAAAAGATGAGTTAACATTAACTTTATTTTGTTGAGTGTGAGGGTAGATAATAGATAATATTTCTATGAAAGCTAGAATGTTTTCTAAAAGGTATTTGGTATAATAAATTGAAATTTGTATGCTTATTTATTTTTTTAAAAGATTTTATTTATTTATTTGAGAGAGAGCACGCACACCAGTATGGGGGAGAAGGAGAGGGTAGAAGCAGACTCCCTGCTGAGCAGAAAGTCTGATAGATAAGGGACTTGATTCCAGGACCCCAAGATCATGACCTAAACTGAAGGCAGATGCTTAACCGACTGAGCCACCCAGGTGCCCCTTATTTATTTATTTTTTATATGTATATAATTTTTGAAAAGGTTTTATTTATTTGAGAGAGAATAAACTGAAGTTTAAATTAACTGAAAGGAGATACACAAAATAAGGATTTAAAGGTAAGAGTAAGATGTTATGACTTAGATTTTGCACTTGATCTTAGCCAAAAGGCCGAGAAGCAATGATGACCTAGATTTTGAAGAAAAACAAAATGAACATTATAGATAGTAGAAAGAGTATACATAACATTGCAATAATATGAAACATACCACACTTTGTGTTAATTGGTGGAGGGTAAGGTATAATTATGAAGGTCTTTGTATGTCTGTAGAAGGTCTTTGTATGTCTCATACATGACTCAAATGTCATATTGCACTTTGTCCTATAGTTTATTCCACAGATAATTGGTATATCAGATATTGTGCTAGGTTTGGAGGCACAAAGGTGAATAAAGATACAATTCTTGTCTTTAAGGAATGAGCAGTGATAGGTAAGACCTATAAAACAATTATTTTAATACTGTATAGTAAATGCAATGCTGGAGATATACATAGAATGCCAGGAGGGCAGAGAGCTGGATGCTTGATAAAGACTACACAGTGATTTCTGTAGATTTAGGAACCATTGTTAGAGATGAGGAGGAGTTGTCAGGAGAGTGGAGGTGGGTGATTTAGGAGAGGGAGTATGAGGAAAGCAGGCACAGCGATAATGAACAGTTGGTTCATTTATAGAACTGAAAGTAATTTGGTGTTTCTGAAATTGATTAGCAACACTTGCCTTTAGAGTTGTGCATTTTTTTTTAAGATTTTATTTATTTATTTGACAGACAGATCACAAGTAGGCAGAGAGGCAGGCAGAGAGAGAGGAGGAAGCAGGTTCCCTGCTGAGCAGAGAACCTGATGTGGGGCTCGATCCCAGGACCCTGGGATCATGACCTGAGCCAAAGGCAGAAGCTTTAACCCACTGAGCCACCCAGGTGCCCCTAGAGTTGTGTATTTTAATCTGAATAGTTTTTTCAGTGTTAAAACTAAAATATATGAGTTGGACAGAGTTTTCTCTTGCTCAGTAAGTGAAGTAGTCTAATATGAGATACTATTTAAACTATTTTTAATACCTTAAGTTAGGATGGATCTATATGTACTAGTTTTATCTATTTTAAAAGTCCATCCAGGGTGCCTGGGTGGCTCAGTCAGTTAGCATCTGCCTTTGGCTCAGATCATGATCCCAGGGTCCTGGGATCGAGCCCTGCGTGAGGCCTCCCTGTTCAGTGGGGAGCCTGCTTCTCCCTCTTCCTCTCCCCCTCCCCCTGCTCATGCTTGGGCTCACTTCTCTCTCTCTCTCAGATAAATAAATGAAATCTTTCTTTAAGAACATTCATTATTTTCTAACACATGTAGCTGGTGGTTATTAATTAGGGTCCAGGTGAACATTCTAGCCTTGAAATTATCATATCACAACATCTCAGTCTTGTGAGCAGAAGCAATGTTGTGAATACACTTAGTCTCCTTTCCCCTTCAAATTTTGTATTTGGGGTTTTACTTACTCTTTGCTGCCATGTGAATAATCTGTGGAATAATTATGTCTTTACAGGATGAATGCTATCAAGTAAGACAAGTGTTTGCTCAGAAACTTCACAAAGGCCTTTCCCGATTAAGGCTTCCACTTGAGTATATGGCAATCTGTGCACTTTGTGCAAAAGATCCTGTAAAAGAGAGAAGAGCTCATGCTAGGCAATGTCTGGTAAAAAATATAAATGTGAGACGCGAGTATCTGAAGCAACATGCAGCTGTTAGTGGTAAGCATATATGAAAATGAAAAGTATACTTTTCTAGCCAGTTCCAGTTTTATAGAACACAAACTGATGTTACTGTTATTTATTCTTGTCTAATCAGTAGTCGTTCAATATAAGGTATTACTATTTTTCAGTAACTGCTTTCCTTTTAAAAAGGTCATTTTTAAAATATAAATGCATAGATATTTAAATATCAACTCATTATCTATATAACTGACTAAATGGCTAAGGAAAATAAGCACTGACACTGGAGATACTTTAAGTAAAACAGTAATATACAGATATATGTATAAAGATTGTCTAAGTACTATCTTTGAGATTAAAAAAGTACAGTCTTTCGTTTTTCATCATTCTCACCCAGAGCTGATGTTAATATCAGGTGCTTGTGTGCCTGTTTTTAACCTGCTCACTTTATCCTATCTGTGTTATTATCAAATAGCATCTCATCCATGTTATTATCAAATGGTATCACTCATCCTCTGTTTTTTGTGCCATTGAAAGATGTGTCATATTTTTGCTTAGCAGCTTAACAAGGGAGTGTTAAACATACGGTTGCTCATAATAACAAGAAAAGTGGATCTTAAGTTTCTTAATTTCTTAGTCATGGATAGTTTTTTCTGATCAGTTTTTACCATGTTCATTTGAAACCGAAAATACTTGTCTTAATAGCCTTAGCAAATGGTGCATTTAGTAGGCCTTTCAGTATTGGACGTGGTAGATGAATAAATAAACTGTTTATGATGTTCCTCAACACTGGACATTTCAGTATATTTTTCTACAGTATAGTTTTCCACGTGGTAAACTCTTGGGATGCAGGAAATAATGGTATCAGAGTCAGAGACAGAAAGAGTAAGATTTGGTTTTCTAACAACCTGAATGTTTTTATTTATTTATTTTTTTCTTTTTCAGAAAAATTACTGTCTCTTCTACCAGAATATGTTGTTCCATATACAATTCACCTTTTGGCACATGACCCAGATTATGTTAAAGTACAGGATATTGAGCAACTTAAAGATGTTAAAGAGTAAGACTTTTTTCATCCCATTTTCATGTTTTCTGAAAGGTTTTTCTCTTTGCTGCTAATAATGGAATCCCCGTTATAATTAGTTTATTAGATTTATTTAGTTTCTTAGAAATTTAGGTTCTTTCCCTTATTTGTTCTCTTGTTTTTTTTTCATACCATCCCTTCATATTCATTTCCTATGTGATTTCCCAAAACTTAAGTTAGCATAATTACTGTATTACTGTTCTATTTCTCTACCATTCTGGCATGTCTTTTCTGTTGATGCAGTCCATTAAAAACTTCTGTTACAGTTCTTGTCTTTTCCTACTTTCTTCTGCAACTCTAGATTTTCATGTGGGCTTTATTCACATAGCACTTTTTCTTTGCAGTAACTATCTACCTTTAATAATGGGCTAAGCTGGTAACGAGGGAACTACCCCACTTATTACTCCATTGGTGATTCTCTAGTTCAAGTTTATGACACTTGTAATTATTTCAGTTATTGTTGAGAGGCCAAAAAACCATCTATGCCTGGGTGTGTGGAACAGGGAAATATATTGGTATTAGAGAAGTCTTTATAATACTAGTAGAGTTCTTTAAGTTTGAGGCCCCAATCCTCTTTCTGCTATAATAAAGGATGATCTTTGTGATTTTGAATAAATGAACTTATTATGCCTTTAGCTTCATATTAAAATAACTGGTGGTTTTTTAGTTCATAGAAATATTTTATAGTTAAATATTTGAGGTGCCTCAAGAGGATAAAATCAGATTATAGATAACTTTCTCATGGCAAAGGAAAAGCCATTACCTCCTTCTAGCTACAGTTTGTTTTTTTAAAAACAAGCAATTCTCCCAAAATGAGTTCTGCGTTAGAGTGATTGTGACTAATGAAATCTTCTAAGCACCCTGCTTTCTCAGAGAACTTTGGTTTTTGAAATACATTTAATATTCTTCAGAATTTACTAGACATTTGGTTTATTTTTAAATTGCCCCAGTATAGTCATGAGTAATCACCCCATTCTGTCAGAGAGCCACTCCAGGAGAACTTATCCTATACCTGAGATCTCTAAGGTTATTTTTCCCCTTCTAGAATGATACCTTGTTTCATATTTCTCTCTTCCCCCTTTACTTTTCTCCTCTGTGCCAAAACCCTGTCCCATTCTGTCTATAAAGTGATAAATCACCTTCAGTTTGTTCTGGAATAGGGTTGTATGTAATTAATGTAAGCTAGTGAAACTTCCTTGTAATTTTTCCCTTTCTAAGCAAAGACAGTATATGTAGTTGTCAGCCATGACATTTTCTTCTCTAACTTATTAGCAAGACTTTTAACTACTAAGTTGAGTAGTTATATTTTCTTGAAAACTTCAATCAGGATTGCAGTCAGTCTTGAGTATTGAGGCTTTACTTTATCCCTCACCCAATTATTACTTTAGGCAGTCTTCCCTCCCTATCTTGCTAGGAGTTAGGATCACTTTATTCTCTCCACCATTTAAGTTCTTTTTTAACCTGCCTCCTTGGGAACATTAGTGAAATTTTGGGAAGGGGGTCTTATGAATTCACACCTACATTGCTGGTAAGTTATGGTATGTATGCGTGACACCTTTTTTTCTCTGTTGATTTATAGCTAGTTTTTCCTTTTTATTTTTTTCTGTTTATGGAGTTTATTACATTTTTATTTAGAATTATTGTATCATATTAAACAGCCAGTTTTTTCCACTTCATTTCTTTTTCTCCCCCCTCCTTTTTTTTTTTTTTTTTAGATGTCTTTGGTTCGTTCTAGAAATACTAATGGCTAAAAACGAAAATAACAGTCATGCATTTATCAGAAAGATGGTAGAAAATATTAAACAAACAAAGGATGCCCAAGGACCAGATGATGCAAAAATGAATGAAGTATGTAATTCTTTTTAAATAATTGTGATTCCCTGTTGATTTAAGCATTCGAGTGTGGATATGCTACTTCTGTAGTATGTATAGACATTATCAGTCTTTTTATTAGTATTTAATAATTAGTATTTCTATTAGTAATTTGAATTACTGATCTAGAATCACTAATGTGGAATTAGTAGTAATGCTGTTACTAGGAAATAATGAAAATAATAGGTTAAGGTATATTATTACACTGAAAAATTAATGTGCTTTGCAGATAATTGTGTTGTTTTTACAAGTTGAAGGTTTGTGGCAATCCTGCACTGAGCAAGTCTCGTGGTACCATTTTCCAACAGCATTTGCTTATTTCATGTCTCTGTGTCATATTTTGGTAATTCCTGCAGTACTTCAAACTTTATCATTGTTACCGTCTATGTTATGTAAACTGAGATCAGTGATCTTGGATGTCAACTATTGTAAATGCTTTGGGGTGCCACACCTGCACCCACCTAAGATGGCAAACTGAAATGACAGATGTTATGTGTGTTCTGACTGCTCTATCCAGCAGCTGTTCCCTCATCTCTCTTCCTCTTCTCAGACGCCCCTGTTCCCTGAGACACAGTAATATGGAAATTAGGCCAATTAATAACCCTACAGTGGCCTCTAAGTGTTTAAGTGAAAGGAAGAGTCAGGTGTCTCTTACTTTAAATCAAAAGCTAGAAATGATGAAATTTGGTGAGGAAGTCATGTAGAAACTGAGAAAGACTGAAAGTTAGGTCTCTTGCCAGATAGTTAGCCAAGTTATGCATGCAAAGGAAAAGTTTTTGAAGGAAATTAAATGTGCTACTCCAGTGAAAACACAAATGTTAAGAAAGCAAAACAGCCTTATTGCTGACACAGAGAAAGTTTGGCCTGAATAGCAGATCAGACTGGTGACAACATTCCCTTAAACCACAGCCTAATCCAGAGCGAAGCCCTAACTCTCTGTAATTCTGTGAGGGCTCAGAGAAGTGAGGAAGCCGCAGAAGAAAGCAGAAGCTAACATAAGTTTGAGGGAAAGAAGCCAGCTCCATAACAGAAAGTACAAGCTGAAGCAGCAAGTGCTGGTGGAAAAGCTGAAGCAGAAAGTGCTGGTGGAAAAGCTGCAGCAAGTTACCCAGTAGATCTAGCTAAGGTGGTTAATGAAGGTGATTACACTAAACAACGGTTTTTCAATGTAGATAAAACAGCCTTCTGCTGGAAGATGTCATCAGGGACTTTCATAGCTAGAGAGGAGAAGTCCGTGCATGGTTTCAAAGGACAAGCTGACTCTCTTGTTAGGGGCTAATGCAGCTGGTGACTTGAAGCTGAAGCCAGTGCTCTTGTACCATTCTGACAATCCTAGGGCTCTTATGAATTATGCTAGATTCACTCTGAGTGCTCTATACATAGAACAACAAAGACTGAATAACAGCACATCTGTTTACAACATGGTTTACTCAATATGTTAAGCCCATAGTTAAGATCTGCTAAGAAAGATTCCTTTCAAAATGTTACTCATTGTTGATAATGCACCAGTTCATCCAAAAAGCTCTGACAGAGACATATAATGAGACGAATGCCGTTTTCATGCCTGCTAACACAGCATCCATTCTGCAACCCATGGATCAAGGAATAATTTCTACTTTCAGGTCTTCATTTTAGAAGGGTATAGCTGCCATAGATTGTGGTTCTTCTGATAGGTCTGGGAAAAGTCAATTGAAAACCTGGAAAAGATTCTTCATTCTACATCCATTAAGAACATTTGTGATTAATGGGAAGGATTTAAATTATCAGCATGGAATGGAGTTTGAAAGAAGTTGATTCCAACCCTCCTAAATGTCCTTGAGGGGTTCAAGACTTCCATGGCTGCAGTAACTGCAGATGTGGTAGAAATAGCAAGAGAACTTAGAAGTGGAACCTAGAGATATGCCTGAATTGTTGCAATTTCCCGATAGAACGTTAATGAATTAGGAGTTGCTTGTGATGGATGAGCAAAGAAAGTGGTTTCCTGAGATGAAGGTGAAGATGCTGTGAAGATTGTTGAAAGGACAACAAAAGATTTAGTGTGTTACACAAATTTAGTTGATAAAACACAGTAAGGTTTGAGAGGATTGACTCTAATTTTGAAAGTTCTTCTGTGGGTAAAATCCTATCAAACAGCAGCACATGCTACTGAGAAATTATTCACAAAAGGAAGAGTCAGTCAGTGCAGCAAACTTCATTATTGTCTTGTTTCAAGAAATTGCCACAGTTCAGCAACCACCGCTCTGATCAACAGCAGCCATCAGCACTGAGGCAGGACTCTGTACTAGCAAAAAGATCGCAAGTCACTGAAAGCTCAGATGATGGTTAGCATTTTCAGCAATAAAGTTTTCTAAAAACCTCCATCTATCTATCTATCTGGGCAGGCTCCATGCCCAGCACGGAGCCCTGTGCGGTGCTTGTTTGTACTCATGACCCTAAGAGCAAGACCTGAGCTTAGATCAAGAGTTGATCTGAGTCACCCAGGCACCCCTGCAATAAAATATTTTTTGATTACTTATACTATAATTGTATATTGTATTTAGATATAATGTTGTTACACACTCAGTAGACTATAGTGTAGTGTAAACATAACTTTTACATGCACTGGGAAGCCAAAAAATTCATTTGACTTAATTACAACATTTACTTTATTGTGCTTTAGAGCTGAATCTGCAGTATCTCTGAGGTATGCCTGTACTAGAATTACTCCTAATTCACAGAGTCGAGGATGCTACCTTAAGTATCTAATTTTTTTTTAATACCATTGCAGAAACTGTACACTGTGTGTGATGTTGCCATGAATATCATCATGTCAAAAAGCACCACATACAGTTTGGAATCTCCTAAAGACCCAGTACTACCAGCTCGTTTTTTCACCCAACCTGACAAGGTAGTTGTTGTAGATTTTGTTTGTATAGATTGAAATAAAATGTATTCTCAGCATTAGGTTGTGGGAGGATTAGGAAGGATCGGTACCAAGAGCTGGCGTTCTACTAATGTCTTGGAAAAGTCACTATGAATCTTCCTAATGTGGTTCAAGACAAGAATATGGGTCAAACTAGAGGACACAAATAAGGTTCAGAGATTAGTTAAGATGATCTAGAGTTTGTGTTCAGAGTTTTATGCTGGTGTGAGAATTCAGGCAAAAATGTGATCAAAGCATGTAGATCTCTTGTTATTGGCCATTGATCCAAAATGGGAAGGAGAATGCTGACAGGGTCACAGTCTGAAGTTATAAGCCTTGATTGAGATTCATAACTGGTATGAAGAAACAAGCAGAGAACAGTACTGGAACAGGTTCAAGACCCAAGGAATGTTTACAAAAATGTTCCCAAACCACTTTTACAAACCTCAGGTATTGCATGTGATATAATAAGTGTTTTCCAGAATTGTTCTTAAAGATTCATAAGGCACCTAAGCCTGTTGACTGAGAGTCTGGAAACTACCACTACTGATTTTGGCTTTTCGTACAATACTAATTAAAGTCTAACCAGTGTATAGAGATTAACAACAGCCTTGTATGTATGCTCACCCAGTAGCTAAAAGGGACTGTCTGCTTTTAAGCATTCCCCTTGTTGTGATTAACAACAGGAGTATATGTGGTCTCTTCTCTGGAGAGTATTGTTACAGAAGCATGCGTTTTCTGATGCGCTAACAGAGCTCTAACATGTTAGATGTTAAATGTGTTTTTGTTAATATTGGAGTTGGTATGAGATTAGTTTAAATTTATTACAGTATTTATTTATTTATTTTTAGGGGAGGGGAGGGACAGAGGGAGAGAGAGAATCTTAAGCAGACTCCATGTCCAGAGCAGAGTCCGACACGGGGCTCGATCTCGTGACCCTGAGATCATGATCTGAGCTGAAATGAAGAGGCAGGTGCTTAACCAACTGAGTCACCTAGGTGCCCCTTATTACAGCGTTTAAAATTAGTGACTGAAATTTTGTGTTTGAACTGATTATTTAAATATGTATTATGCACTGTGAAACAAAAGCTGTTGTATGCATTGTTGGCTTCAAAACACCTTTTGTGTAGTGTTTGAATATTCACTAATTGCAACTTTTTCCCTTGCTTGTAGAATTTCAGTAACACCAAAAATTACCTGCCTCCAGAAATGAAATCGTTTTTCACTCCTGGAAAAGTATGTGCTGGGAATCATTCTAATTTTTATGTGGCAGTTTATTTTAGTATTATTGGCATAACTATGTTATTTTATATTTCATTGAAAATTGATATATCTTATGATAGTAAATATAATTATTAGATATCTTCCATTTACTAATTAGAAATAATTATATTTACTGTATAGATGCAAGCTCAGATACATGAATTTATTTTGTAGCTTATAAGAAAGCCCTGGAGACCTTGATCCTTAAATATTTTACCCTATAATAACATGATAAAAGTCTTAAGAGTTAAAAACATCTTCTTAGGTCCTTCCAAAGGAATAGTCTGATTATCTTTTTTTGTTGACTGCATATTTTATTTGTCCTCAGTTTCTATGTAAGCCTTTTCCTCTAGATAGCTAAGATGGCATTAGCTATTATGCCATCTATATAGTTTTTCACTCATTCAAGTGATAATTCATAATCTTTATATTGCTTAAGGATAGGCATATTTGTGTGTGTGATTTGTATGTAAACACTTTGACAGATTTTTTTATGGTTCTTTACATGTAAATTTCTTTTGGCTTTAATCAAATAGAAAGAGATATGCATTTTTCATTTCAGCCTAAAACAACCAATGTTCTAGGAGCTGTTAATAAGCCACTTTCATCAGCAGGCAAGCAATCTCAGACAAAGTCATCTCGAATGGAAACTGTAAGCAATGCAAGCAGCAGCTCAAATCCAAGCTCTCCTGGAAGAATAAAAGGGAGGTAAGTACCTAAGAAATATCATACTTTACATTTAAGGATTCCAACAAGGCACCAAGATCTAAAATGATGTAACCCAAAACATTTAATGTCAGTGCATGGAAATCATTGCATATCTGAACATTCCCATTTAACATTGGTAGCCATTTACAAGTTCTTACTTATTTGCTCTCTTATTTTAGATAGGCATTCCATCTTATTACCCTTTCATATTTTACCTTGCTGGTAGAACCTGTGTTCGTAGACATAAGCTAAATGTCTAGCAGTCATGAAACTGTTATATTATGGTACATCCGTGCAATGGAATACATAATCATTAAAAATGATGAAGTATGAGCTAATATGAATTATTTCCACAATACATTATTGAGTAAAAAAGGCAAAGAATAGAACAATGTTATAGTATTTTCAAGTTTTTAGAAAGGATTTGTATTCACACTGGCTTTTATTGTATAGAAAGTTTTTGGAAGACTACACAATGTCCTATGGTAATCTAGTGTAGGAGGGAGATTATTTTATATATTCTTTGATTTGAATTTCTTTTTCCTGTTACATGTATAAACTTTTTTGTTCAAAAAATTGTTTTAAAATTGTACTTTCAAATCATGCTCTACAAATTTTTCTTTTTAAAAAGGAAAAGGGAAAATTCACACTTTCACTAGTTTCAGTATAATGCTTCGTACACGGTTTGTTAGCCGCAGAACCTTGTACAGGGCTTAACTATCACTGTTTATTGATTTTGCTTAGTTTTTAGGAAAGACTGTGCTATCTTTTGTATTGTTTTTAACCAATCAATAAAGAAAGGACGCATTCTTTTTTTTTTTTTTTTTAATTGGACAGAGAGATCACAAGTAGGCAGAGAGGCAGGCAGAGAGAGAGGAGGAAGCAGGCTCCCCACTAAGCAGAGATCCTGATGCGGGGCTCGATCCCAGCACCCTGGGATCATGACCTGAGCTGAAGGCAGAGGCTTAACCCACTGAGCCACCCAGGCGCCCCAAGAAAGGACACATTCTAAAATGTCTTATCAATTTCCTTGTAATGAATAAATTTTTAAGTGATATATAAAATAGTAGAAATTTAACAAAAATTACTTAAATAGCTCTTGCTTTAGATTCCTGTATTAATACATATCAGTGGCTGATACCTACCTGACCCTTCATCTGTATCATTTGGACGTTTTCTAGTGGATGGCCCCATACTTGACATTACCAAAACATTTCCCCAACTCATTTCCTAAATTACTGGTTTTTCTTTTTGAATTCCTGGTTATAATCAAAGATGATCTAATTCACACAGTCATTTAGACTAAGAGCCTCAGAATTGTCTTTGACTCTTCCCTCTATGCTAAGATATTGCTGTGGAGCCCAGTGATCTGATTTGTACTTTTATTAGATTGCCTTGGTTGTGGAGAATAGAGGAACTAGACTTGAGGTAGAAAAGCCAGTTAGGAGTCAGCTAATAGTAATTCAGGGAAGGGATAGAGGGAGGAAGATGGTAAATAGTCAAATTTAGGATTTATTTTGATGGTAGAGCCAAATAGTTTTGCTGATGGGTCAGATGTGAATAATTATGGAAATGGAATATTTAAGGATGTACCCTAGGTGTTTTGCCTCTGTATTTAGTGGTGGTGCCATTTACTGAGATGTAGAAGCCAAATTTGAGGGGGAACAGACTGTGTGTGTGTGTGTGTGTGTGTGTGTGTGTGTGTGTGTGTTCTGGGGAGATGGAGAAAAGAGGAGTGTCCAAATGACTGTTTTGGTTAAAGTTGAGGTGCCTATTAGAAATTCAAGTGAGTGGACAATTAGCTATGTGAGTCTAGAGCTCAGGGTAACTTCTGGACCAGAGATTGAGATTTAGGATTTAACAATGTTTAAATGGTTTTTAAAGCCAGTTTAAGGTTGTGATCACCTAGGACAGAAGACAGCCTTTATACCAATAAATGAGAGCATGTGCTATTAATTCACTTCGTATTTATTGAATGCCTGCTTGATGGCTGGCACTGGTACAAGTGCTTAGTATAAATTGCTAAGTACAGTTGACAAAATGATACATGCTTGCACTCTAGCAGGGGAAGATAGTAGAGAATAAACACAATAACTTTACTGTATTAGAGGGTAGTAAAAGTACAGAGAAGGAAAAGTGGAATGGGGCTATGGGAGAGATAAGGAACGGTGCAGATTGTAGTAATACAGGCCAATTCAACTTGCTAACAAGAAAAGTTTTAATTTATATGCCCACTCCAAAATGGAATTTAGGTTTTTGTTTTTTTTTTTTTAAGATTTTCTATTTATTTGACAGAGAGATCACAAGTAGGCAGAGGGGCAGGCCTAGAGAGAGGGGGAAGCAGGCTCCCCGTTGAGCAGAGAGCCCAATGCGGGGCTCGATCCCAGAACCCTGAGATCATGACCTGAGCTGAAGGCAGAGGCTTAACCCACTGAGCCACCCAGGCGCCCCGGAATTTAGGTTTTAAAAAGACTTAGGAAAAAAACTAAATTTGTGATTTTTTTAAGTTTCCCTATTATGTTAAATTAAATGTGATTTGTTGCTTGTTGGTTTGTTGCTAAATATGATAGAATAAAATGGATACTTTTTTGAAAAGAATGAAACTTCCTCATAAAGCTGTAAAGCTATACTAGGGAACAGAAAAAATTTTTAAGGTTATTTCATTGCAATAATTATAAATGTCTGTATTAAAAGGCTTGATAGCTCTGAAATGGATCACAGTGAAAATGAAGATTACACAATGTCCTCACCTTTGCCAGGAAAAAAAAGTGACAAGAGAGACGACTCTGATCTTGTAAGGGTGAGATATTTGGTTTGTTTTTATGATAATTATAATAATAATGATAAAAACAATTTTACTGTATAAATAATTTTTACAATGAAACCAGTTAACACTGTTCTCAAATTTGTCACTTGATTTTCTTTTAATGGTTTTAATCACAAATTTGAGTTTACAGTTACCCTCTATCATATAATTTAAGGATATTGAATCTCTTGTATTTCTTGCCATTTTAATAAGTGATCTTTATCTGTAGATCTTTGAAATCAAACATGCCAGTCCCATACTCAGAACTGCTTGGGGGTTTTTTGGTTGTTTTGTTGGTGTTTTTAAAACACAGTAAGTTTAGACTTAGCATCAGAAGGGATGTAGAATGAGGGTCCTTAAAGGTTCTTCCATTTTCGATGATTTCTTGAGCCTTTCATTACTAGACAAGCTTCTAGTGGTGAAATGCTACAGTCTTCATAAAGGCCTCCTTTAGGTTTTAAATTTTAATAATAATGATAACTTATATGACAGAAACAATTTATAAATGTCATTTAAAGACAGATTTAGTGCAGATATAAAATACAGTTATGTATTCAATACAACCTGATAGCTTTAATAATTGGACACATTTTGACCTTCTAGTTTAGCTTTAAACATTTCTTGAATAATCAGTGAGGCTCTCTGAATCAGTTACTTTACCTGTAAAGTGTGGCTACTTAGCTGGTAAGATTTATCAGAATAAATGAATTAGCCTAAGTTAATCGGTGTTGCTGTTGTTTTATTATTATAAAGATCAATATTTTTGATTAATGATTATTATAAAGTAAAAGTTAATGCATTTGAATCTACTCTGTTAGGAGAGGTGGAAGGTTATTAATAAAATACTTTTGCTTTCACTGAAATACTATGCCCTCCATGTCTACCACTGGCCCAACATTACATATCCCAAAACGTTTAAGTTATTTTCAGTTGTTTTCAAGTTTCTCCAGTAATTTGTTTTGCCAGATTGTTTTTCTTTCCACTTGAAAAATTATAATTATGAAATTTTTTCTAAATCCTTACTATTCATACTGTAAATTCTGATTTTTATTGGCTGTTTAAAAATTTTGCCCAAGCAGAATTAAAAATTGATCGCTTAGCCAGAAAGGAATCCTGTTATCTGGATTTATAGAAGAGAACCTTGAATTGAAAAAGGTATTTATGTCTTCTAGTCATACTTCTCACTTAATGCACAAATTCCTTCATTAGCATTTATGAGAGTTGGTTAGCACATGCTTGAAAATGCCTTAGGTGGAGAGCTTATAATTTCTCTCATTTATTGGAATCATCAGCTAGGCCACCCATACCCAGATACTGTCCTGTTCCCTTATTCCCACGTCCCCCCAAAATTTGGGAAACATGGTTGTGATGGATTTTGTTATATTATAAATTCTATATCTAGCTCTACCTTCTGGAGCACTGAAGAACAAAGTTTCTATATTTCATGGAAAAGTTTTGAAATTCTGTGCTTTTGAGATTGATTTGTATGATTATAATGGAGGCCTTTGGCTGCCTTTTGTGTAACATTGCATCCATTTTCAGAAATATTACAAGAACCTTAATAATAAATATCAACTGAAATATCAACTGAATTTAGAATCATGAGACAGAAGTTCAGTTTAAAGACCAGTAGATTATAGTGGAAGAGTACTGTCTTTACTACCTTGACATTAAAATTTCACCACAAAGGAATTATTCTCCATATACATTTATATTCAAATATTTAGTTTTACAAAGAAAAATTTTCTCTGTTTTCTGCTTCAAACCTCAGTTTTATAATCCCTCTGTTCTTAAGACAGTACAGTGCAAAATGAAGAGGAAACTGAGAAGGTAGTGCTTTAGCAAACTAGATTGTTTTATAGTATTCTCAAGAAAGCAGACATTGAATACCCTGTTTACCACCAACCTTTTCCAGAGTTCAACCACCTTATCACATTTTTGGACATCAAAATGAATTGCAACATTTAAAATTGGAGGTGATAATTTTAAATTTAGTTTTAATTCAGTATTTCCCTCCTCTATGCATCTCTGAAAAACAATAATCAATTCTTAATTTATATACAAAACTCTAAATAAACATTAACAAATTAAACCAGTCATTTAAAGGTCTATTTTTCCTGAGTGTAAGGATAATTTAATGCTAAAAAATCTTTTAATATAATATAGCAAATAAGGATACCATATAAGAATACTAACAAGATAATCTCAGGTCATATCAAGAAGACATAAATACAATTAAAAATCCATTCTTGATACATATGAACTCTTAATAAACTAATACAAGCAGGGTATTTCCTTAACATGCTGAAAGTTTTATCTGTTTAAATCATTAGTCATTGATTCAGTTACTCTTAAGTTATTCAAAAAGGCAAAATGCTTGAAGCATTTTTATTAAAAATCAGCAAAACAAGCTACTGTTGTCATCACTATTATTTAAGATTGTTCTAGAATATTTGACAAATTCAGGAAGACATCAACTAGGAGTCAAAGATATGACAATGAAAAAGAAGAAACATTCATTTTTATTTTTGTATTCTTAGAAAAATAAGAGAAGCAATTGAAAAATTAAGAATTTAGCATGGTAATTTTTCTTTATATCAAAATTTTTTATATATATTATGTATGTTATATATTACGTGTATATATATATTCTTTATATACACTTGTGGGGAAGGAGATTTGCTACACCACAATAACCACTACAACAACAAAGATAGATAGATTCATTGATCTAAACTTCCTTAAAAAAAGTAGGGGGAAACTATGTGGAGATATCCAAATTGAGAAACATACAAGACTTGAAGAGAAAGAAGGCATACCATGTTCTTTAATGGGAAAAATGAATAAGAAAAGATGACCGTTCTTTCTAAATGAATCTATATGTAATTATAAAATTCCAGTATGGTTTTAAGCACATGTGGAAGAATAAATAAATACAAAAAAGAAGAGTAATAATATGATAAGCACAGCCAGACACAAATGTATTTATTTATAGTTAGTAAAATATTATGCTGCTATTACAATAGCTCAGAAACATTAATTTTTAAAACATAATACAAAATAAAGGAGGCATTACAAGTCAGTGGTTTTTTAAATGATTGTAATATTCTTTGGGGGGTCGATAGGAAAAATAGTTTAGAACTTTATCTCAAATCCTATTAAGATACAATAATGTCTTTTTGCTCAGGCAGCCATAACAAAATACCATAGACTGGGTGGCTTAAACAATTAATTTTCTTACCATTTTGAAGGTTGGGAATTCAAGATCAAAGTGCTGGCCGATTTGCTTCCTGGTGAGAGCTTTCTTCCTGGTTTGCAGATGGCCACCTTCTCACCCTGTCCTCACATGGTGGAGAGAGACAGAGAGGTCTCTCTGAGGGCCCCACTCACAGTGATGATCTCATCTCAAGTATCTCCCAAAGACCTCTTCTTCAGACACCATAATATTAGGGTTTATAGGTTCAACATGTGAATTTTATGTGGGCACAATTCAGTCCATAACAAATAGGAACTAAAATTTAAATATACACAAAAAAATAGAATGTGGATTAAAATACTAAGACTCCAGTGTACAAATGAGCAAAGAACATAATACCAATGATGTATTTGGGAGTTCTCAGGAAACAAAATGACTATTAAACTAATCAGGTGATTTTTTTTTTTCTTTTCACTGATTTTTAAGAATGTAAGTTGGCACAAACTTTTTGGAAAGAAAATTTACATTAATTTATGGGTATTATACATATATATGTATGGAGAGGTATAAGGGTCATATTATTCTTGATTTCTTTGGAGAATTTCCTCAGTTTCCATCTTCTGGTCAGTGTATAAATTCTCTGATTATAGACTAGGCTTTTATTTTAACTCTGAGTTACAAATTAAATGATTTAAATTGTTTTATTTTTAATTAGTTGTACATGGAAAGAAGCAGTATCTTTCAGAAGTGATTCAGAACTTACTAAAATTTTTAATAAGTGATTAATATATTTAACTTTTCTATCTTGGAACCTCCATTTATAAAATAAAAGTAGTTCTTTTATGGTGTCTAAGCACGATATAGATAGCATAGTTGGTAGTTTATGTCTTATACACTGTGTAATGAAATTGGAATTATTTAAACTATCAAAGCAGATCTTTTGTACTTTAGTTATCCATTGTTCATGCAAGAAATTTAGAATTTTTTTAATGAAATAAATAGCTTTTTGTTAAAATTTATAATTTAATAAAAAACTGATCTTGAAAGGTTTCCATTTGAGGCTCTCTACCATAGTAAAAATAAAAATGTATCCTCTTACCTAGATAATTTTTTTAGTTAAAATACAAGTAGTTATGGTTCTGATGTGTGCTTAAGAACTCTACATTTTATTTAAGCACATTTTTATGACAAAATAGCATGTTTTTTGTTTTATTTTTCAAATTGGGCATACTTAACAATTTTATGTTTGAAATTGTGATTTTTATTCCTAGTCTGAATTGGACAAACCTAGAAGCCGGAAAAAAACACCTGTCACAGATTCAGAAGAGAAATTAGGTATGGATGACCTCACTAAGTTGGTACAGGAACAGAAACCTAAAGGTAGTCAGCGTGGACGGAAGAGAGGCCACACGGCTTCAGAATCAGATGAACAACAGTGGCCTGAGGAAAAGAGGCTCAAAGAAGATATATTAGAAAATGAGGATGAACAGAATAGTCCACCAAAGAAAGGTAAAAGAGGTCGACCACCTAAACCTCTTGGTGGAGGTACACCGAAAGAAGAGCCAACAATGAAAACTTCAAAAAAAGGAACCAAAAAAAAATCTGGACCTTCAGCACCAGAAGAAGAGGAAGAAGAAGAAAGACAAAGTGGAAATACAGAACAGAAGTCAAAGAGCAAACAGCACCGAACATCAAGGAGAGCACAACAGAGGTAAGTACATGCAACTCTGAACTGCATGTATTTAGTGACTATGTTATAAATCATAATTTGATGCTATGCACATTTGGGTCTTCTCCAAAGCAGAGCAGAATCTCCTGAAGGTAGTGCAGTTGAATCCACACAATCCACACCACAAAAAGGACGAGGAAGACCATCAAAAACGCCATCACCATCACAACCAAAAAAAAATGTGTAAGTTGTAAATAATATTAAGTTTCAAACCAGTTTCAAATTATTTTGCAAAAAAGTTCATCATAAGTTTTCAAATATACATAGGGCTATATTTAAAATCCCATATATTTATTCTCATTACACTAGGTAAGATGAAGTTTTTATAAACTTACCTAGGTGATTGATATCCCAATTAACTCTCTGATTTGTACATTTTTACAGGTCTTAGGCAAATCTTTATAAATGAATAGCAAGTAGATTATTTCCAATACAGACTTTATAGTACCTGGAGATGAGAAGGTATTTTTAAATAATCACATCATACTGACCATGTTGCCTTATCATTCCACACTAGAGTTTTTCTTAATGTCTCTCCTCAGCAGGAGGAAAATAGTTTTTACATTTTTGTAAAATAGTTTTTGTAACTATTTTGTAGAATAGTTTTTACATTTTTGCTTTTATTCTTTGAATTGTGTAGGAAAGTAACAGGCATTATTTTTCTTTAAATTATATCTATAGAAATTATCACATGTAGATTTGAAGTTTTTGGTGTTTTGATTTTGTTTCTTTTCTAATCAAATTAACACATCCATATCTACATATAAATAGTTTTGGAAGCACACGAACACATTTATAAGAAGTTACAGTAACAATTCTGTACCTAAGATTATTAAAGTAGTAGGAGTATCAGTACTGTAATTTATATATTTTGTACTTTTCTCAGTTATTTAAATAGAACTAGAATAGCATGTCTTCCATATGTCAGAAATTCTGCAGTTTTCTTAGAATAATCTCATTACATAATTACATCAGTGCCATGGCTTTTCAGACTTGCCAGCACTCCTTGGCTTAATACTTAACTTACCTTAGAAGTGTTTCCTATTCCTGTGTATTCCACAGGAAGAGGAAAAGTTGCCTGAGTGTCTAGCTACTTCATGTCCTCTTCCATTTAATTTTTTCCTTGGGTAAAAAGTAAAGGTAAGTATGTTTTTGTGATAGCTTTGTAAATGTGTTTGGATTCAATTACAGAAAATAACTGTTTTTAAATAAATTCTTAAGGAATATTAAATTTCCACAATTTTATAATGAGGAAATAACAGAATTATCTTTGAGGCTCATAACTGTAATTTGTTTATATTTGGACACCAAAAAATTAAGGACTTAAATAATTATCATGGCATTTCCTCATAGGAATATTCTAAACCAACCAAGTGTTTCTTTTAAAAATCATATTGAAAAAAAGACTCTGTATTCTGTCTTAACAGTGTATCTTCCCTTCACAGGGAACCTCTTTTTTAAGAACTAGTAGAATAACATATGTTATGATCTGCCTGTTTTTCTTGTTCTGACCTCAGTAGAATTGAGAAAGATTGTATTTTCCATGTAATTCCTGTTTTTTCTTTTGTTAATTCTGAAAAACTGAATCATATAAAAAAATATACTTGGTTTGAGTGTGGATTAAAAAATACTTTGGATTACCTAAGAGAAGTGATAAACTCTATTAATTTTTTTTTAAAAAGTTGCCATACAAAGAATAATAAGGTGATGATTATTGCCAGAAGGAAGTAGGTGTAGGGCACTTGGGCAAAATGGGTGAAGGGGAGTGGGAGATACGGGCTTTGAGTTTGGGAATGAATAAATCACAGGAATAAAGGGACACGGCATAGGGAATATGGTCAGTAATACTGTAGTAGCATTGCATGGTGATAGATGGTAGGTATACTTGTAATGAGCATAGCATAATGTTTAAACAAGTTGAATCACTGTGTTGTGTACCTGAAAGAAACTAACGTAACGTGCATCAGCTGTACTCAAATAAAAAAAAGTTTTTAATTAAAGAATATACATGCAGATAGAAAAAAGATATTGAGAAGGATACATTTGATTAAATGGTGATATCTATTACATATATTTGATTGCCTCAAAGAGTACTAGTACTTCAGACATTACTAGGTGCTGGGGGATATAGTGGCACAGAACAGACACGATTCTTGTTCTTATGGGATTTACCATCTAAATAGGCATGTGCTCATTACATAATCACTCTTAAATATGGAATTCTAAATTATGATATGTGCCCTGATGAAAATTTAGGGTACTGTAAGAGAACGTAATGAAAGAGCTTTGGAATTGGGAAGTTTTCTCTTTGTAAAGTGACAGTTGATTTCTTGAAAATAGTAGGAGTTAGGCTGATGGATAGCAAGAAGAACACAATTGGAAGGAACATTGGATCTGAAGGTTCCAAAGTAGGAAAAATCTTGGCCAATTCAGAGAGTTGAAGGAAGGCAAGAATTTGCCAGATTGTAGTTGTGAGGAATTGGGGAGTAGAAAGAGATGGGAATGGACAGGTAGCCAAGGACTGTCTGCAGGGCCTTATATACTATGTTAAGGAGGTTTTTGGAATTTCTGTCAATAAAGTAGGTAGTTATTGAGGGGGAGTGAATGACATCAGCTGCTTTTACATTTTTAGAGAAGAGGTAAAGAGATGAGAATGGTTTGGAAATGTGTAATAGCAATAGAGGTGGAGAGAAGTGAGTAGGATTTGAGATTTCTTTGTAAGAATTATGGGGCCAAATGAAGAGTGGTACACTAGTAAGAAGGACTCCAAATTTTCTGTTTTGAGCAGCTCAGTAGATACAGATGCCTTTTACTGAGTGGAGAAAAGATAACAGGAAGAGTAGACTTTGGTTTATGTTTTAAAATCCTTTATGGTATTGGTTTCAGTCACACGTTTTTGTTACTTGGTCAATGTTTGTAGGTGAGATTCTGTGATTAAACTGGTTTAGGGTTTAGAAAATATTTCTTGTTTTGTAAGGTAATGAAGGATAAAAATGATAATAATTGAGAATTTATGAAATGAATAATTGAGAATTTATGAAATAAAGCATTTCTACTACTCAAAGATCAGAATGTTCATTTTATTTTACATCTGTTTTACTCTAGCCGTGTAGGACGCTCCAAACAAGCATCTACTAAAGAAAATGATTCAAGTGAAGAAGTAGATGTGTTTCAGGGTAGCTCTCCTGTCAATGATGATATTCCACAGGAAGAAACAGAGGAAGAAGAAGTTTCTACAGTAAATGTATGTGTTTATTAGAGTACCGTGTATGATAGTATAGAATATAGAATAGAGTTGGTAAATATTTTATAAGATACATATAGCACTTGCTCTTATAAGTCTAAGTATTTATTTGCTTTTCTTCATAGTTTGTATAGTTGTTTCATCTACCAGCTTGGATAATTACAGAGTATCCTTTAAGGAATACTGAGACTCTAAGTGCAAATAATAGATTTAGCCTTGTGAAAGTGTAAATATCAGGTTGAAAGCTGAACATATAGAAGAACAAGTAACTGTCTGATGTTACTTCAGGCATTTAAGTTGTACCTTGATTTTAGAGCACTCTTATATGTTAAATAGACTGTGGTTTATGTTTCTTTTTTCTTGGGAGTTTCACAGTGGAAACTGGAAGTTAACCATATAGGATAAAATCACATCTTTGAAATTTATAAAATTGGTAACAAACATTTCTTTTACAAAAGTGGAAATATGATTCTTCCTGAGATATATTTTTTTTTTAAAGAATGGCTTTGTCAGTTAACACATTTGAGTATTTCTCTTTGGAAGAAATACTGTTAACACATTTAAGTCAGGACTATTCTCTTGATGATACACTAATGCTGAGTCTTTGGATCAGCACAGCCAGCCATCTTTATTTGAGAAACCTGTGTTCTGAGATGTAGTCCCAGAGCTGACCTCCGCCCCTCTGTGCTATTTAACATCAGCACTTCTCTCTGCATCAGGGTTCATTTATATGAAGGGGTTAATAAGACCACAGAAAAATATCTGAACTCAGTGGTCTCAAACTTGTTGGGCTTGTTTCTAAAAGTATTTTTTTTATTGTTTTGAGTGTAAAAATACTGCTGATAAATTCTCAGTGATTAATGTCTTCATCCAAAAAAATTTTTTTTAAACTACACCATAAATTAATTTTATTTAAAATCCTGTTCTGTTTATATTCCTCTTATTACCAGTCATTTTTGAACTAAAGTTTTATGCTTTCATTAGTATTTGCCAGTAAATTGTAATATATCTGAAATTCAGATTATTTCTATGTATTTGATGATTGTTACAATCCACATTCAATAATGATTTTCCCAGAAAAACAACTGTAAGCCTAAGTTCATAAGGACCAAATGTTTTCTTTTACCACAGAAACATAAGTGAGAAAATATTTGCAATTGTTTTTCTTACTGTTTACATTGATTTCTGTTCATTTCTCTTTGAAATTATTAAATAGAAAAGTAAAATAGTTTTTTCTTCTCTGTCGTGGGAAAAACTATTTGTGGGCATTCAAATATTATATAAAGTCTAAATATGTGATGATAAGGTAGGAACTTAAAATAGGAGAAGGGTTTCCAGTGAAGAAAAAGAAAATCAGGAACAGCTAAGAATAATGATTGATTAAAAAATAATTAATTACTGCTATGTCTAATATTTTAATTAAGCATCTGATAATTTTCCTTTTAAGGTACGGCGGCGAAGTTCTAAAAGAGAAAGGCGATGAACAAATGTAATTAATAACTTTCTGTGTGAAAGCTTTGAGAAGAAGCATTCTTTTGTCAAGCTTGAGGCTAAGTAAAGCCTTTGATGCACAAAGTGGGACTGCCAGAAAGTGGACAGTTGGAACTTTCTTTGATGACCTCATGTGTTTGTGGTCACAGCGCTTTAGCCATACGCTTGGTGATAACATTGACTATGGAGTCTTGTGGAAGTGTGATGTGCGATGGCTATGTAGACATAAACTAAAGAAAAAACTTGTAAATATATTTTTTCCTTCCTCCCTTCCTCTCTCCCTCCCTTGCACCCTCCCTTCCTCCATTCCTTCTTTCCCTTCTCTTTCTTAATGTTTCTGACTTCTAAAGTGCTTGTATAGCTTTTATCGGCGGCTTTAAACTGACAGTACCCAACTGTTTATTGGATCTATTGATTTGGAAAGAGTTTGTTAGGATAGATCTTAAGCAGTAATCTGTCAGTGTTTGTATTTGTATTCTCTTCAATTTTACTGTGAAAAAAATTTTTTCAACAAATGGTGTCATTTTCTTGATGTCATTGTTTGTTGGAGAGTAAAATGGTCTCTTTCCCTTGTGTATCTTACCTAGTGTTTACTCCTAGGCACCCTTAATCTTCAGAGGTGCTAAATTGTCTGCCATTACACCTGAATGATGCCTCCAATGGGAGGACACCACACAAATTGTGAAATAGTCCTGAAGTTTGATTATTTTACACCTCAGTATTGGTCTCAGAATTTTCTGGCCTTTCGTGGCAATGAAAATTTTAAGAAAAGAGAGATTTAAAATATTTTAATTTTAAAGAGTGTGTTATAAAATAATGTACTGAATTCTTTATCCCATTTTATCATCATCCCTTTTCAGTTTTTATTAATCTACTGTATCAATAAAATTCTGTAATTTGAATTAGTTTTTAATAGTCTAGAATGTTATTGTGTATAGATATTTCCTCTTGAACATTATGTTCAGAAAATGCAAATTATTACACTATAATATAAAACCTGATATATACACATAGAAAAGTTCCAGTTCTCCATAACAGTGTAAAGTTAATCAGAAAGAAAAAATTTTATTGATGCAGTGTGTCTTTATAAAGCTGTTCTTGAAAGCAAGTGTTTTGTATTTTATATAGTGAGTTGCATGTTTATGAAAAAGTGCTGAAAATGGGATGTGCTCTTTTCTGTAAATTCATATTTAGCCATAGTATATGATAGATTTCCCCATAACATAGTTTTTCATCAAGAGTTTATTATTGTACTTTATTTTGGAGCCAAAAACTTGTTTTTGGGAGAGGGGAGGGACAGGGTGGGAGTGATGTATCCAACTATCTGAGCTACTGTAGGTATCACAATCTTATAAATTTTGAATGAAATTCCACTTCATCTAGATTGGGAGAAGTGGAAATTTATTTGGATTTAGGGCAGTTCTTTTTTTTTTTTTTCTCCATCATAATCTGCAAAATATAGAAACAAATTACTTCAGTCAGTATCCTTTATACAGTTTTATAAACTGTATTTTGAACCAAAATATAAAACTTACTATTTAATGCTTGCCTAAATTCATTATAGTATTTCAGGTGCTGTTCTTTTGTGTTTTTCCACAGTTAACATCAGAAAAAAAAATCATATCCTAACTTATTAAATTTATCACATTGAATAATGGAGCATTCTCATATAATACACCATTATGTTTAAGGTATATTTCCAAGATTGGTTATAATAGATGGGGGGATATAATAAAGAAGCTACTATTTTGGAAAATGACACTTTACTATTTTCCAATGTATATCACAATTGATGTGATTATTTTCCTTTTAAAGATTTCTTCATGTTTATGAAACGGCCTTTTATTTTTTAAAAAAATGTTTTGAATTGTGTCTTAATCTCTCAATATTTAACTGTTTTTCATTTCCAACAGTGCTGACACCAGTGATTATGGGAGGCTGCTGTATACAAGGCAGCTAATGTTGGACCAAGATGCATTGGTTTTTTACCGTTTCATGAGCTCAGTTCTCCCAAACACGCTATTTGTATCTCAGCAGTACAAAGGCATGTTTTTAAATCTATAAAATAAAGAATAAGGGATAGCTTTGTATTTTTGTCATTGACTAAATTGCACCGGAAATGTTTATGGAAGTATATCTTTAAGACCATTTTATAAAACATAATGAAAAAATGATTGTGGAGGATTTTTTATTTGCATGATCACAGTTAACCAAATTTCATTGCACATTAATTCTGTACATTAGTTCACAAAAAATGTTCATTGTAGATTTTGTTTAATGCCAATAAGTCTGTGATTTTACAACTTGTCTGTTCACTTTTTGGGAGGATTATGATGTAAATTTTCCATTTTTCTGTAGAAAAATAGGTGCAATAATGATCAAAGTTTTGATGTCCTGAGTTTTCATCTTAGGGTATTATTTTATTATTATGTTTAAACTTAACACTTCATGTGCTAATATTTGGAGAGCCACATACTATAACTAAAGTAAAATTAAGTATGTATACAATAATAATTGCTAACAGTGGTTAGCAAACTTCAGTGATAATGTTCATTTTGAAAAATGTGTACTGTATAAAATTAAGAAAATATTTTAACTCACTATAACAAATTCCATTATGAAAATCTTAAAATTCTTCAGTGAGGTTATCTTGCTGCCCTCTGTAGCAAGTTCACTTAACCTACATTATAATAAGATTTCTTGCTGCAGTGCAACAGGAAGCTTTTTTAGTGATCTCCACTGTATATGTAAATTACAAATGTGGCTGTAAAACTTGTTCCAGGTATTAAAGGTTAAATTACTTTCTGTATCTTCTTACAACTTGTAAGTTTGATTTTTCAGATTTCCTTTTGCCCACTTGGAAGAATGTCAGGAATTTAAGAATTTGTTTAACTTAGGTCTATCTCCCCTACCACATAGTATTATGTCACCATAATGAACAATTGGTATTTAGATAGATAACCAATTTCAGACACATTTTTGGATTTTCTGTGAAGTTGAATAAACATGAAACCTAATATGTAATTGTATTATTTTATTTATGTGATTCTGTATATATATTTAAATATGTTTACTAAATGAAGAAAGGCACATTTTGATGGTTTTTTATTTTGAAGACTTTGTTGCATGGAAAGGAAATGTATCCCAGTAACATTTTTTCCAAGCTTTTTGTTGAAGCTTCTCATATAAAATTTTGGGTAACAAAGATTCCTAAGTGCTAGTTAAGTGAAAGAATTTCATAACTGAAGAAAATATATGTATCATAGAAACTTTAAAAGTAAGCACTGAGAATGTAAGTTCCTACTGGCACTTTTACTTATTTGTTCAGCAAATATTTATGGAGTATTTACTATGTGTTAGGCTAGTTACAGATGATCAAGTGTGATCTAGATGGAGTAAGTCCCTGCCCTTGCAGAGCTTACATTCTCCACAAGGGGGTGGGGGAATAAGGAAACAATAATTAAATATGTAATATAATGTCAGATTGTGAAAAGTGTGGTGAATGTAAAAAGGAAAGGCAAGATAGTAGAAACGATTGGGAGGAGAAGCTATTTTGTATACGGGAGCTGTGTTACGTAGTACATAAACTATAGGGTTATTATGCCTTTATGATGAAGTTATACTTTTATAATTATAAAATGTCACTTGATATCTGTACAAATACTTCATGTCTACTTGGTCTGTTATTAATATAGCCATACCAGTTTTGTTTTGTTTGCATGACAAGCCTTTTTCCGTCCTTTTATTTTTGACCTATTTATATATATCTTTATGTTTAAAGTATGTGTTATGTTAACATTTTATACTTTCATTTTTTTCTTTTATCTAGTCTTAGAATCTTTGTTCTTTAGAGTGTTTAGACTGTTTTGGTATAATTACTGATGCAGTAGGTTTTAAATCTTGCTGTCTTTTTTGCCATCTTTTCTTTATTCCTTTATCTGCTCCTTTTCCGACCTTCTTTTGACTCAGGTACTATTGACTTTGAGCAATGTGGTGATTAAGGGTGCCAGTCCCCACACAGTTGAAAATCCACATAGAACTTTTGAGTCCCCCAAAACTTAAATACTGATAGCCTACTGTTGACGAAGAACCTCACTAATAACATAGTTGATTAACACATATCTTGTATGTTGTACGTATTAGATACTGTATTCTTAAAGTAAGCTAGAGAAAAGAAATTGTTATTAAGAAAATCATAAAGAAAATTATTTATACCACTGTGCTCTATGAAAAAAGAACCTAGCTCAAACTCCTGTTGTTCAAGGATCATCTGTACTTATTACTCTCTCTCGTCTTTGCTTTTTAGTTATGCTTGGTTGTATTATTCTTCTGTGGTACCCTACAGATTACAGTATCTGTGCTTGGCTTATTATAGTCTGTGTTATATTAATGCTTTTACTACCTTCTGAACTGTTCAAGAACTTTAAAATGGTTCAACTCTGTTTGTTGCCTCCCTATTCTTTGTGCTATAGTTTTCATGTTTGTTTTGTGGTTATAAATCCCACAATATCATTACTTTAAATAGTGTTCTTTCTTATTTACATATACATTTTCTCTTTGCTATTTTTTTTTTATAGTTTTGTGCTGTCACCTTAATTCCTTTTCTGTCAGCCTGAGGAATTTCTTTTAGTATTGCTTATAGTGCAGGGCTTGTGGCAGTTAATGCAGCATTTGTTTGAAAGGTCTTTATCACACCTTCATTTTTGAAGAGTATTTTCTTTGGATACAGAATTCTAGATTGGCATTTTTATTTATTTGGCAGTTTGAAACTTTGCATTCCATTTTCTTCTAGTTTTCATATTTTCTGTTGCAAAGCAGCTGAAAATCTTTGCTCCTTGTAGGTCCGGTATCTTTTTCCTGGCTTTTAGGATTTCCTCTTTGTTTTTAGCAGTTTGCTGTGGTGGGCCTACTTATGGTTTTCATTTTATTTATCTTGCTTGGGATTTACTGAGCTCTGGAATCTACATGTTGATATATTCTATCAGTTTTTAAAAATTCTTGATCATTATTCCTTCACATATTACTTCTACTCTATTATCACTTCTTTCTTTCTGACACTCAAATTATAAATATGTTGTACTGTTTGTACCCTGTGTACTCTTCATTTTCTTCCCTTTCTTTCTGCTCTTGTTCTATGTGCTTCAGTTTGGATATTTTCAACTGATGCATCTTTAGATTTGCCAATCTTGTGTTCTGCCTTGTGCAGGCTTCCATTTAGCCCATCCAATTAGTTAATTTCAAATATTGAATTTTTAGTTTTAGAATGTCCAGTTGATTATATTTGATAGATTTCATTTCTTTGTTGAAAGTCCCTTTACTCTTTTCCTTCCTTTTCCCTCTTCTTAACAGTGCTGGCAGAGATTTGAATTATATAACCAACTCCAACATCTGAATCATCTGTGGATCTTAATCTATTACCTGATTTTTCTTTCTTATTAGTCACATTTTTCCTGATCATATTTCTTTCTCCCTGTATCTAGGGCTTGTATTTTTTTTTTTCTTTTATGCAGGATGGTTTGAATAAAAGAACTGAAGGATTGATGTTGATGTGATTTTTTTTTTTCCCCCCAAGAGAAGATTTACCTTAGAGATCGCTTACCTCATTCCATGGAGTTGGTCTTGGGATATAGCTTTAGTTAGACTTAGTCCACTTGTTTCAAAAATCTTAAGGGTAAGACTTGTATTATGTATGACCAGCCTTTTCCTTTGGCACACCAAGACTATAGGAGATTTCATTCTGCCTTTCCACTCTCAGCAGGAAGACTATTTTATATAGGATAGTCAAAGAAGATTCTTTGAAAAGGTGACATCTGAGCATGGACTTCCATTATGTGAGGGATCAAGCACTATGAATACCTGGGGAAAAAGTATTACATGTCGAAGGAAGAGTAAGTGCAAAAGTCCTTAGGGAAGAATGAACTTGACTGTATCAGTAATTTCAAGGAGGCATGTGTTTTTGATGTGAAAGTGACCACAGGATAAATGGGTAGGAGGGAAAGTCAGGAGATTTTGAAAACCCAGATCATATTTGTATGTCTGTCAGGAGTTGTGTTTAGAATTTGATGGTAATCTATTGTAGGACTTGGAGTGGGAGAGTGGCAAGAACTGGACTTTTTGTTGCTGCTGTTGTTAATTTGGAAAAAATACCATTGAGAGGCACCTGGGTGGCTCAGGTCATGATCCCAGGGTCCTGGGGTTGAACCCCACATCAGGCTCCCTGCTCCTTGGGGAGCCTCTTCCTCCCTCTCCACTGCTAATGCTCTCTCTCAAGTAAATAAAATCTTTTAAAATAGAAATTAAAAAATTTTAAAAATACCATTGACCCATGAACAAAGCAAGGTTAGGGAAACTGACACCTCCCTGCCCCACTCCAGAAAGTGAAAACTTGTGTATAACTTTTTAGTCCCCCCACATTTAACTACTAATAGCCTATTGTTAAGTGAAAGCCTCACTGGTTATAGCTGATTAACACATATTTTGTATGTTATATGTATTATATAGTGTATTCTTACAATAGAGTAAGAAAAAAATGTTAAGAAAATTATAAAGAAGAGAAAATACATTTATAGTACTGAATATATAGGGAAAAAAAATCTATGTATAAAGTAGACCTGCACAATTGAAACCTGTGTCACTCGGGGGTCAGCTGTTCCTGAAACTCAACATGTCCACAGTATGGAATACATAACCTTTCCTTCCCATATCTGGTCATCTTTCTATATCTGAAAATAGAACTAGCATTATTGAAAGCATATAAAATGCTTCAGGCTGAGATCTTAGAAAGTGATGGATAAAAATACAAATCTCGTTTATTGTACATAATTTATATTCTTTTTTATTTTAAGAGAGCATGAGCCAGGGTGAGGGGAGGGGCAGAGAGAGAATCTTAAGCAGGCTTCATGCCCGGCGCAGAGCCCAACATAGGGCTCAATCTCACGACCCTGAGATCATGATCTGAGCCAAAATCAAGAGGCTTAACCAACTGAGCCACCCAGGTGCCCCCATAGTTTACATTCTTGAGCTAATATGTTTAACTGGGTTCACAATATAATCTGCATTATGGCCCTTGGGTGCTTATAGTTTTGTATAAAAATCTTGGGTGAAAAATTATCAGAGAGAAGGTAATATAGTTAACACCTTATAGATGATGTGTCAATGTTTGGGGGTTGGTGCATACCAGATCTGTTCGTTTGGGAACCAAGAGACCCGTTTGGCTGAGATGGAGAACTTTTGAGTTGTGGTTGGGTAGTGGGGTGATACTTTGCACATGTAGTTTGAGGGAACATTGGGTAGGGCTTCGAATTCTAAAGCCAGCTAAGGGAGCTACTGATGACTTTCAGAGCAAGAGAATAAAAATACAAACAAAAGACATTTAAGATGACGGCTTTAAAAAAGAGTGTGTAATACCATTAAGGGGCTTTAAACAGAGGGTCCAGTTAGTTAACTGTAATATAAGAAGATTAGCTTACTAGTTTCCTCTGTAGAAGCAATTACCTGTCTTCAAGATTCAAACCGTTCATAATGGGAAATTGTTAGAACTGAGTTCTACCATTATTCAGATAGCATTCACATTAACAGGTAAACATTTTTGTTTTTATTTAAAAATTAACACAGGGGTTTCCTAAATACTTTCCTATAAAAGGAAGTCAAAACAACACAGACATTCAGAGCAAAATATGTTCACTAGATCAGGATTTCAGTCTGTCGTACTTTCTCATGCCTATATACATATTATCTTTTATTTTTATGTAAGGGATCATATTATACCTTTCTACAACTTTCTCCTCTACTTAATAATTCTTATAAGGCTATCAGAACATAGGGGTTTATCTCACCCCTTTAACAACTGCCATGATTTACTTCACTATTCTGTTGGGCATTTAGGTTATTTACATTTTTCACTGTTAGAAACAATGCAGTAAATTATCATCTCTGTGTATCTCTGTGCTAAGGTGCCAGGTTTCCTATAAGAAATAGATTCCTATGCAGAGAATTGTGATGTTCCTTTAAATTACAAAT